TCCATTAAGAAGCTCAATAGACATCTATCATTATTATCACAAAGGTTTACCCCAAATATAGTTTCCGTTATATCACATCATACTAATGTGGATTTTAAAGTTTTACGGGTACATAAACGTTAGGAATGTTAATGTTGTAACGCATAGCATCCTCTGCTCGCTGATTGGTCGGTCTCATCTTGCACGTAATTAAGGACGTATCAGAGACTTGCGTCCAGACCTCATTTCCAACTAGCGGTTATGACGCAAGACCCGTGGTAGTCCGTAGCTCAGGATATGCAACAATAGTCACGTATGAGTGCAAGTGCACCTACATACGTCACAAGTGAAAACGAAGCAGTTTTAGTTAACGTTTCGTCATTCAAACAGCATAACGATCCCTCCTCATAAAATCCCATTAACATAGAGATAATAAAGAATATTTTCTTACTTTCTCGTCAATGCAAAGTTTTATCGTTTTATCCATGTTTTCTCACCCATTTGTGCTTCTAAACGGGAACGCTTTATTTACTATACACAAATAACTTTTCACAAAACATATGTTTTATTTCTATACCATCACGAAGTTTTATTCACTAAACACGAATTTTATATTCACAAAACGGGAAAATCTGTTGATACTCATATGAACGCATTTACCTAGCATGAATATATTATTCACTAAAATCCAAAGATTTTATTCACTAAACACAAACTTATTATCTATTAAACGTTCTATTTCCCATAACGTGTACGTTTACTACCGAAAACGGAACTTGTCGTTTGAAATACATACATCAAGGATTTTGACCATAACTCGGAAGTAAAAAATATTTTTGTAACAGAACAATATTATCATGGCGGATACTGAGTGCATACTCTGTAGGCTTTGGTGACCTCATCCACATCAGTGACCCCAGTGAGTGTTGCGGAGGAAATTCACTCATGCCAAACTGGCGCATCACCGTGACTTCCCGTTGTCCTTACGCAGTTCTTTTAACGTCAGCATAGTCTATTGTCGTCACTCTGTGAACTTGCTTGGGTATTAATGTATCCAAACTTAGGATGCCTTCTCCAAAAAAGAAATATGTATCATTATTTAATTTTTAAAAATAGAGAAAACAGGAACAGATCTAAGGAATTTATTCATCTGTTTGTGCATTCAGTGTTGTTGTCATGACAAGTGTTGCAATTCCGGATGAAATTATTTCGAGATAATTCATATTCTAGCATGAATAATTGACGCGCCTTCACATCCTGCTCTGTTGATGGCAGATCTGTCCCTGATTTCTCGAAACAAACTTAAGTCTGAGTTTTGACTTAAGTTAGATTTTTTACTCACATTTGAGCACATGGATTTCCCAGAATGAACTGAACTTGATATTAAACTCAAACATAGTAGACAATTTGAGTTTGGTGGATAGATTACTTACGTTGTTTTGGTTTTTATATTTGAAAAATGAAGTTGAGTTAAAAATTCAGCTGTTTCAAATTGTCAAACTCAGTTTGAAATTTGAGTAAAAACTTAAGTTTGTTTCGAGAAATCGGGCCAGGACCCCGTTCCTCAAAGCGATCGTAGCGCTAAGGTGATCGCAACTCCCATACTTTAACATAGACTTACGACAATCGTAGCGCTACGATCGCTTTGAGGAACGGGGCCCTGGCTTGGAATCCCATGAAGTCAGGCTTAGTAAAAGCAGGCATTTAACTCAGATACAACACATCTCAGCGCCAAGAGTTATCGTATATGATCAAAATATCTGGATCCCAATCCACAACGCGTTCGTAGCGCAACGACGTGTGCAAGTTTATGATAAACTATAGAGCTACGACAGGTCGTAATGTTACGAACGCTTTGTGGATCGGGGCGTTGATTTCAACGAGATTTGCGTAAAGGTCAGATACGCGCATACATTGTAGGTATGTACACAGTCTGGGTAATAACCAGCGAGCAATTATCTGTCCCCAGTGAATAAATTAAGTTAATCTTCAGTCTTTGGTGAGGGACTTGCAGTGTCCCCAACTTTCCTGACATTGATAGAGGTATAACATCATGGAGAATTATTGTTAACCTCTATATCATTTCAGGTCTTGATAGGGGAATTGGGTCAGATTGTTTTAGCAATATTCCAGTAATATCACGGCGGGGAACACCAGAAATGGGCTCTACACATTGTACCCATGTGGGGAATCGAAACCCGTGTCTTCGGCGTGACGAGCGAACGCTTTAACCTCTAGTCTACCCCTACCGTCAGATTGTTGAAGAAGTGAAATAAGTCGAATAAACTCTTTAAATATATCATTTTTATTACCAATGTTTAGAGCATATCTATAGATCAACATACACATATACTTGTATAAACAATAGTTTATTGTTTTATAACTGTCAGGGGCGTAGCTACCGTTATTTAAAAAAAGCGCGGGCTTATACATGATTGTTGCTAAAAAGGTTGGGCAAACCGTCAATACTATCTAAATATATAGCTTTGCAACCTATCGGGCTTACACGAATAAATTGGCTTGCTATACGCGCCTGACCGTACGTAGATCACATGTGTGACTGATCAACATAATTTTGTATCACATCTATTTTAGCTAATTTATGTCTTACAACATATAGACAAATAGTTTTTAAATATATATATGTTTTAGAATATATAGACATATTTTTTATGCTTTACAACAGCATTCATTCACGAACGAGACATATTTCGTAAATCTGAAGGATTTCGTAAATTTGTAAAATTAATCTGATCCTGTCGAGAATGAAGTAGTGCGGTATGTATATATCTAAATATTTATTGATATCGTTGCAGGAATAAAAAAATACTGGATATCAGATATGAATTACAGAAAAGAACTTAAGGTAACTTAAAATTAATTGGATATGTTTGAATTGATGCCATGTGATATGTTTAGGGTGCCATAAGTCAGTCTAACCCAACATCAACCCTTGACCCCATATTAGCCAAAGATCTGGAAATGAATTGATGCACTCTCTATAGTTACCTGCCAAATATACCTGTGAGGTTATATTGACTTGATGGTAATCATGTGAACGATACATATAATGAAACACATTTTGAGTATGAAATGTAAATGTAAATGTATGTAAATGTAAATGCGTTTCTCTATGTCTCTTCTTTCATTTCTGCCATTTCTTGCATTAACTGAAAAAAAACCACATTCGTGTAAATCTACTGGGGAGGGCGTTCTATGTTGTGATTAGTACTAATTACTAATGGAAAAGCTCGATTTTGTAGTGAGTGAGTATAGTTTTACGCCGCTTTTAGAAATATTCAGGCGCGTAGCAAGCCTAGTTTTTCTTGTAAGCCCGTTTGGTCGCAAATCTTTATATTTAGGTAGTATTGAGGGTTTACCCAATCTTTTAGGAAATATCATGTGTAAGCCCGGGCTTTTTTATAATTGAAGCTACGCTCCTGATATTCCAGGAATATGACATCGGGGGACACCAGAAATGGACTTCACACATTGTACCCATGTGGGGAATCGAACCCGGGTCTTCGGCGTGACGAGCCCACGCTTTAACGATTAGGCTACCTCACCGCCCCTCGATTTTGTAGATGGGCCATTTGGGACCTGAGACTTTATCCAGATGCTACAAGGAAAGGGTGGGTAATTCTTAAAGCCTTTAAAAAATATAGATAAAATACCGGTTTAACTAAATAAAGTGCTTTTAAAAAATAAATGATTGCAATGATGCATTTTGCAGCAGTCCTGAATCAATGCTGTCAATAACAGACGGGTATATATGATATGAATACCTGTTTCTTGTTGATCACTAGATTGTCTGGTCCAGACTCGATTATTTACAGACCGCTATAGCTGGAATATTTGCTGAGTGCGGCGTAAAACTAAACTCACCCACTCACCTGTTTCTTATTGATAGTTCATGTTTAGATAAACTCCATGTTACGAGTTATTTTCCGGTTTGTAAATTTGTATACAAATTATTAGAAGATACTGTTTCTTGTCCATTCTTGAAGTGTTCGTGGGGTGTTTTTGTTGGTCATTGATGATATTATTTTTGCTGTATTTCGGCATTCGATTTTCGATCTGTTATTCAAACACAAAAAGACCATCTCGTTAATTGGATTTTTCGTTTCGTTTATATTTTCCAGATATGTGATATATTTTGGGGCACACAGAACACTCTGGAAATGAAAAAAACATGGTTTTGAATTTATATGATTGTTCCATCACCAATCTATATTATTTTAAACCTCTTTACACAATTTCATGGGCGTCTAGTGTGTTTTTTCTAGCTTAATTGATAAACTGCATCTTTGTGCAAAGTTTCAAGCAATTGTGTTTGACAGTATTTAACAGACACATAAACTTATAAGGCCACTTATCTCGAAACAAGGTTAGATAAACTTAGAACACCTAAAACACAGGTAACGATATCTGTGATACGTTTGTGGATATGTGTAAATTGTTACAAGACACAATTAATTTAATTTAAAATATTTTGAATTAATTTCGAATATGAATATGTAAAATATGGTAATTGTTTGGGGGGTTTTGCATCTTAAAACATTTAGAAATATCAGGAAATATGTTCTTGATATATCAGTAACTTCAACAACATCAGCAGTTCTCTTTTGGAAAGCAGTACTTTGTTAATAATATTACACGTTCTAAAGCCCCTTTCACATGGAAACATTTACTTATGTGAGTAAACATACTTATGTAAGTAAATTTACTTAGGTAGTAAATTTACACCTGGAGTAAACAGACCTAAGTTAAAGTATATTTACTAGACCCCCAAGAGGTCTAGTAAAAGTATAATTACTTATAAGTATAAATACTCTTTGAGTATTTGTGGTCATGTGAACAGAATTTATGTTTGCTTAGGTGAGTATTTCACCACATATTTAAGACATCTTAAGGGATGACTGATGCCTCCTAAGAAGAATCCTGTTGTTAAAAGGGCCACGCGTGGACTGTCGTGGAATGATGAAGAGACTGATTATCACTTGTCTATTTGGAATGAAAAAATGTTGAGGAACAACTCGAAGATCCAAAAAGAACAACGATCAATGATGTCAGATGAGATGAAGATTCAAGGATATGAAAAGAGTAGCGCTCAGTGCAAAATACGTATGCATACACTCAAACGAAATTTCTGGGATTGTAAAAAGTACATGAAAACAAGAGACAAGTGTCGAAAACTGTGCAAGTTTTATGATAAACTGAACGAGATTGTGGGCCAAAGACCAACATCACCTGTGAAGATGATAGAAAGTATGGGCCAGAGACAGCGTCTTGCCACACAGGTGATGTCAGATGACAGTTATAACACAGCTGAGATGGAGGGTGATGGACATAATGATGATTTAGAAGAAAGGGATGGTAGCGAACATCTCGATGCGATTGATGACAAGGACGATCAAGCCGAAGATGATGATGATAAGGATGAAAAAAAGGAAGATGAGAATGCAAACAAAAATGACACAGAGAGGAAAGAAGAGGAGTCAGAAGACCAAGTCAAAAGGAAAACCATGAAAAAAGACAAGGGAATAAAGAAAACAAGACTGGAGACTGTTTTGGGAAGTATAATGAAAGTGCACTCGGAAAGTAACACAAAGTTTGAAAATGCTATGATGCCATTAGAACATAAAGAAAATTGATGCAGAAATGAAGAAGATGGAACTGGAGAAGATAAAACTAGAAATGGAAGAAAGACAAAAACGCGAGGAACGAGATCACCAGTTCCGTATGATGCAAATCATCCTTGATCGAATGAACACTCGTCAACCAATGAGTCTCGGTCATCAACCGCCATCAATGCCTGGGACTTCCTGGAATCAACCAAATCAGCCATACCAACCGTATCGTACACCAGATTGCCGATCATCTACTGAACAATCAGATGTCTCTTTTGATGATTCAGGAAATTCACTCTATCAAATTTAAATCCCTTCAACCTGTTTTGTACACATGTTTACTTTCATTTCACTCAGGGTACAAAGAGACACTCAGTAGAGACATTTATCATCAATGTTTATGTTTAGTCTGTTCTCAGATGTTACCAGATATTGTTGATTTTGATTTATCTTAACATCTTAAATGTTATATTCAGACTAATTGTCTTAATATTTAGTTACTTTTGAGTCAGATTTTTCTCAGCAAACAGATTGTGTGTTCATTTAGATGTGCCGTGTTGTAGCAATGATTTGAAAACAGAAGTAAAGAATGATTGATTAATCACTGTTTTAATGTGTTTTTGCTTGAATTGTCAGATTTCAACATGTACCTTTCAACAGCAAATCTTAAGCTTCATTACTATGTACCTTCAGAATTGGGTTTAGACTACAAAATCGGTCATCTCTGAGTCTCTTTGCACACAAAACAGCTTCTCACCATCTTCATCGTCTTCATCAATTGCATCCTCTTCTGCTTTGTCCTCTTCTCATTTCACACAAGTTATGCAGAATGACACAAGCAGTGATGATAGTGTTAACAAACCCAACATCCACATCTAAACGCTTCATTAAGCACCTCAAGCGTCCTTCAAACACCCAAAGGTATTCTCTATAGTCATCCGTGCACGACTCAATCTATAGTTGTATTCCTTTTGCACCTCTGATAGTTTCGCAATGTGTGTATGTATATGGCTTTAGAAGCCATGGTTTCAAAGGATAGGCTGCATCAGCCACAATCACGATTGGCATTAGCACTTGTCTGTCGCGTAGTAGCAGCTGCTTTGTCCACTTTGGAAACAGGTCACTTGTCTCCCCCTTGTAGTACAGCTCTGAGTTGCCCAAACCCCTGGCATCATGCACTTTGCCAGGCCAGCCAACATTGATGTTGGTTATGATGTACCGATGGTCACACACTGCCTGCAGAAGAATGGCGTACCATCCAGGTAGTCACCATGTGCCAAGGACGGTGCGCTGATTGGGATAGTGTTCCATCAATGGCACAGTTAGGGAAATCCCACGTCTCTTCAAAGCCCTATATCACTTGTCTCAGTTAATTTCCTTCTGGGAACTTCACATATTTTGTTAACAATCTTTCGGATATCGCATTGCAGACGCCATGTACACATTTGTGAACTGTGGAAACTCCTACCCCAAAGAGATTAGCAATAGTTCAATACTCTGCAGAGGGAGCAAGCCAGTAGACTGCAATGCCAACCTTATGGTCCAGTTCCAAAGGATCCCTTACATAAACATCCATTGTGGGAAAACATGGCTGTAGATCATTGCAAAGAAAATGTCTCTCTAGTCATGCGAAAATTCTCTATCCAAAGTGTGTCATCAAAGGACATTTTCATGGTTTGAGAACACCAATGGCGATATGGAGATATCGCCAATTTCCTAATAAATGTGAAAACGACTTGACATAAAGTACTCAGCTCTAATAACTAAGCATGTCCAAAAGTATATGAAGTATCGAACTGTTACCGTTTTGAGTGAAATTATTTCTTCTTTGAGTGGCATTTAGAAGCCGGTATGATGGAACGATTTTTTTATATTAATAGACAACTTCGTTAATGCAATGGATGCGGCGTTTAGGTGTAGATGCTAACATTATCAAGCAAGTCTATCAATGTATCCATAAAATATCGCTTAAAAATTGAAATTAATTCATCTGCAAACGTTGATGTAGTATATACCCATTTCTAAATTTATACAACGTTCAACTTCTAAAAGATACCGTATCGATTTTTTCACTGTTTCACTGTTATGCGTAATCCATGCACCCTAGTGTTTGCCTGTATTAATGGCCTATGGCCTTTTTAATGAATAAAATGCCTGTCAGCCATACCACCAAATTCCACAATGTGTCCTTTCATAAAACATCTCGGTTTCACGTACAATATTCTTGTCTATCATTGTTTTCACAAAAGCTGACATCTCTTTTTCTCTTTGAAATCTGTCCCCAATTTTGGCCAAAATAGCATCTAGTTCTATTATTTAATTTTCAAGTAAATGCAATACATTGTTACGGAGACATTGTCTTGCACAGAAGACGAGCAGACGACACAAGGGACGTAACTCATATTCCTTGCCATCGCCTGTTCAAAATGCAGTCACGCGAACCCGCCAGAGTGTGTAATATGGATCTGGTTATTCAACCCACTGTGATATGCTGTTTTCATGTTGTCTGTTTATGTTGTAAAATGCCCCATATCGCTGATAAGTATGCTAAATGTACTTCATATTGCAACACCTACGGGGATATGTGGACAGTGATTTTAGAAACGTCAGGTCATTTGATAGAAGTTCCTATTGCATATAACTGTTCACCAAAATAGTGAGTATCAAAAGTGAATGTTTTGAAAACTTTTAAACTTACAAGGCCATAACAACACAACATTAAAAGAACATTCAACAGACGCCTACTTGTCACATAACGAATGTCACAAGTTCGTCCCACAAGTAGTATCTCCACATCAAGTCAAGAGTGTCAAAGGTCGATAGATCTAGACTACAGCTAGAAGTTGAGGATAAATATTTAGATCGTCATGCCTCTGAAGAAAATACCAAACATCATTTCCCCGGATTTGCTTCACGTGCTTGCACTAATGGGGCATGGAGACGAGATAGGTACATATTTTTATCGATATGTTGAATTTGGCAGCCAACACTCACTATCTACACCGAGGTCCGTGCAGAGCCATACTGATTACTGTGTTGTTGAAATATAAATATCATATCAACACCAGGCTACTGAAACGATCTCAGCTCTGCACCAGGAGTAAGTCAGTGTTGAAATAACGTAGACCGTTAATTTGTTTCTAAAAATATTAAATGTTTTCGGTATCTTTTTGTTTGATATGGGCCAATATAATGGAAAGGAGCCCAGGATACCTCTTCAAATAAAGTAGAAATCTAGACTTGCTAACTTTGCCTCAGGGTTATTGAAAATGGTCACTTTATCTTCTGTGCGCCTTTTCACATGACTGTAGGTTAGGTCACCAGGTAATAGTGGTATGCCTAGACTTGCATAAGTCTGTAAGGTAAAAATTGTTAGTTTATTTAAATAATAATTTAGTCCGCTTATCTAGACTTGCCTGTTCGAAAGATAGAATTACTATACATCCATGGGCTCAGCATTCAGTACAGCCTTGGAGCAAGGCAAGGCTGTGGTATTTCTTACTGTGTTAAATATTATAATGTGTAATATTATGTACTTTCAGAGTGTAGGTGAAGATGAAATCACTGTGTGTGTGCAGTTTTATTATACGGTCTCTGGTGTGTGTGACAGGATGATAGGCTCGGGCTGTAAAATTGCTTCTTTTACGTTCAAAACCCATAGTAGAAGGTTAATTAACCATTTTTAAAGATCTATTTTATCGTGCACATGGTGCATGCATCCTCAATTAATTTCAAAACGACATAGCCATATTTGTTGTAGTTTTAAAGTTATTTACCATCTTATTTCCTGACCTGACAAAGTAAATTATTTATTAATCATGAGAAGATAAAATTGTCGCCATGTTCTTACATTTTGGATTTTAGGTGCTTTTTTTTATAATATAGTGTTACAATAATAATACAATCGTGGAATCATGAATATTTGGAGGGTATCATATTGATTAAGGTGTTGTAGGAAGTAATTATTCCCAAATACAGATGCCAAATGTTTTATGATATACATGCAAAAGTGCAAACTGTATCAGCAATGTGTCAAAACAAGGAAAACATTGCTGATATATGGGAAGGTTATATGGTTATATTCACTATTTATAGAAGATTTACAAAAGACACTATAGTCCGCTTGGCTCAAAAGCGGACCGATGAATTGCAATCTAACTCGAAAACTAATAAACATAAAATACTCAATGAAACGCTGATCATAATCAAAACATCATACTCACTCTGTGAGGTTTTTGCAGAATTTTTGTCCTGAAAATAATAAAGTTGTTTAACAAACTATCATTAAAATATTGACACAGTTCACTATTTGTTACGAGGGAGGAGTGCAGAGAAAGGGACAGCCAGGTGTTAGAGAAGCACGTGCACATGTGCCGACAAAGTTATTGATTCATTAACCTGTGCTGTGCTGTGCCGTCTCCATCCTTTCTCGCACACCTGGCTGTCCCTTTCTCTGCGCTCCTCCCTCGTAACAAACAGTGAACGGTGTCAATATTTTAATGAAAGTTTGTTAAACAACTTTATTATTTTTAGGACAAAAGTTCTGCAAACACCTCACAGAGTGGGTATGATGTTTTGATTATGATCAGCGTTTCATTGAGTATGTTATGTTTATTAGTTTTCGAGTTAGATTGCAATTCATCGGTCCGCTTTTGAGCCAAACGGACTATAAGTTGCTTGATTTTCTGTAGTTGCTTGTATGCCTATGTGTGTGTAGTTGTACTGCGGACAATAAGATATCTTTTCCATATGGTAAGAAATATATAGGATTGATTTGTTGTTTAACTTTGCACTCAGCAATATTCCAGGTAAATGGCGGTTGTCTGTAAATAACCATGTTTGGACCAGAAAATCCAGTGATCAACAGCATGAGTATCAATCTACGCAATTGGGATACTATGATATGTGTCAACCAAGTCAGCGAGCCTGACCATCCGATCTTGTTAGTCGCCTCTTACGACAAGCATGGATTACTGAAGACCAATTCGAACCCGAATCTTCACAGGTCAAATAATATATATGAACAATTGCCTGTACAATATGTCATTTGCCTACTGTCTGACTGCATCTCACTGTCATATATTGATCCTGACATTGTATGTGAAATCAAGCATAACTGAACATATGGAAATGTAACATCCTGCTGAATTGATTAAAAAAGTTATGTTTGATTGAAGCCATTCAAGCATTATTATGTTTGACTGCAAACTGAAACCTACCAGTGATGCTACAGATAATTCAGACAGTAACAAACACCTTCGTTACCCAGACTGGATGTGTCATTTCAGATGGGGGGCAGTGTATGAAATATGACCCGTCCGACCACCCGAGACGGGCTTGATTTCTGCCAGATGGTCTAATTTGACAGCTAGCCAGCCCGATGGACGGGTGAAATTTTTTTTAGATAACGTGTCCACTGGCACTGTCTATTCAGTATATAAGAAGGACTGGTTAAATCTGTTCTGGGCTTATAAGTTTTTGAAGTTAACAGCCCAGATATCTGGCTGGGTTTTTGCCTTATTTCATACACTGGTTGGGGGTGGGGGTTTCAATGAGGCATTGGGTTGCACATTGGTCTCTGGGGACATTTATTGCACATAGGCCTATTGGTGAGGGAGGGGTGCAAAGAGAGGAACAGCCAGGTGTACGTTTAGCACGTGCACAAGGGCCGACAAAGTTATTGAATCGTTTACCTGTGCTGTCTCCATACTTTTTCGCACACCTGGCTGTTCCTCTCTTTGCACCCCTGCCTCGTAACAAATAATGAACTGTGTCAAACTTTCAATGATAGTTTGTTATACAATTTTTTTGTTTTTAGGACATAAATTCTGCAAAAAAATCACAGAGTTGGTCTGATGTTTTGGTTATGATCAGTGTTTCATTGAGTTTTATATGTTAAGTACTTTTCGAGTTAGATTGCAATTCATCGGTCCGAGTTTGAGCCAAACGGAATAAGTCATTAAGGTGCCTGAGTGTACTGTAACTATCCTTCAGGCATGCCAGAAACCATTGTGTTCTCTGCTCAGATTTGCCCTAATGATGGTACAGTAGAACATGGTTATAGCGAACACGGATATAGCGTACAAACGGATATAGCGAACAAATTTAAAAGTCCCGTCAACAGTCCTTTATAATATCATTAAGATTATACGTGAATAACGAACTCATGAGTAGCGAATTAACGGTAATAGCGAACTGATTTACTACCCCCAAGACCCAATTAACGACGTGATTAGCGAACTCACTCAGTGCCAGCTCAGCCACTTAGCGGTACAGTATACATCAATCATTAAGATAAATTTATTTAAGTTGTAGTTGTATTATTTCAATTTTATTATAAAAATAAACTTCATATTTATCAAGATGATATAGGTAATGTCTGTGAATGTCTACATCTCTACGATCCAAGATGGCGGTCAAATGTGAATAACGAACAACGGATATAGCAAACTAAATTTCTTGGTCCCTTGGAGTTCGTTATATCCGTGTTCTACTGTATTTGGTCTAGCTGCGTCGTACCCATTCTTGTACATTCCACCAAAGTGGTGTCATGATGTAAAGGAAATAACTGTTCCAAGAAGTATCTAACCTGACTCACTCACGACAGCTCATACGTTGTACTCTCTAACCAAATCCTGGACACAGCTCCAGGTTGTAATACCTGATTCAAGAGTCAGATTGCTTCAAAGGATTTAGAGAATCTCACCCAAGTGTCTTTTGATATCAAATATATCACCACGAGTTGATAAAGTAACAAATATCCGAGGCTTGCCGAGGATATTTTACCTTTTCAATGGGTGAGATTCTATTTATCATCAAAAATCACTCTTCATTAGTTTTCAATGAAAAATGTACATCTCGGAGCACAGTACTGCCATTAGGCTTGCAGTGCAGTGATGTCATAGCATTTTGAAGTCATCAAGTTCATGGCGCCATAGCAATGTCAGGGCATTGTACAAAATCTACTGTCAAAACTATATTGCCTGGGAGATATCGTCTGATCTCACACAAGCAATATCTCCTGTGGAACACAGTTTTGGATGATAAGATACCTTTCAGGATATACATGGATGCCAGATATATCACTTCCTTTTATTTTAATTTCAGTATTTGCAGATGCTCACTTCCCATCCTCTTCCATCTGTCGAAGCGGTCCAAGGGAGCTAAGAGCTGATGGTGAGATATATAGAGAATACTACACAAGGTCTTATTGCATACGAATTATAGGAAACGAGTGTCCTTCCTATGGTATCTGACCGAGCAAAAGCGTGGTCAGAAACCATAGGAAGGTCACAAGTTTTGTATAATTCGTATGTTATGAGACCCAGTGTGGTATTATATTTATTACCCACGTCTTACATACATTAAATTGACAAAATAGCGTATATTTGTAATTCTATGGTTTCAAACCGAAAACAGTTTCATAAAGAGGTTGCAGAAGAATTTTGTTCTGTGGTACACTTTTTGCATGACGTCACATTGTAATGACATCACTACACCTTGCTCGTCTGCCCCCTTGGTAACCGACGTCACAATGCATGTCAGTTGTCATCGCTTCGTGCAGCCTCCTACATTAAACTACTCCGTAGCACCCTGTTTCTTGGTTTGCAGCTGCTTCACTCGGCTAACAAACATCACTGGTGGAAACTTAGCATTTATGTTTTTCGACGGATATAATGTCTCAGTTCGACTCACAATTAAACAGAGATACGGCAATTTTCGCAATGTTTACATTCCCACAATGCATGTAAGTTGTAGAATGAATAAATAGACGTGTTTGTTATGAATGAAAAAGTAGTTCCGTCACAACGTGACCTAATTGAGAGGTCATCGGTTATCCAATCAAATTGTTAGAATCTCAGGTCAAGTCGTTACGACACAGGTCAACGCGATACGACACTCAGTATGCAACTACCCATACGTTGACCACGTGGGTAGTAAATTTGAAGAAGATAATACATGTACTTGTCTACATACCTGAATGTTTAGCTCATCTAACACCTTTTTGCTATTAACAGTCAAAATGGCATCAAATGTAATGTTTATTAATTAATGCCTCTATCAGAATCTGTATCAATAATAAATAATTTACAAATATTGTGTTTTGTATTCTCAAACACATTAACTGTTAAAAGTTGAACTAAAGTGTCCAAAGAAGTAAAAACATGTTAAAAATAAAATGGTACTTCTGTATTTGTGATGTAGACTAAATTCTCTGTAATTTCATGTTCTTTATCTAAAGGATCATTTTCTAGTCATTTAGTGATATTTGCTAGTACAAACAAATGATTATCATTTTTGAATGTAACATAAAAACAAATGTTATTGCATGTAACATAAAGTGCAACATAAAGGCTGTCATACTATTTTCCTGGAAGCTGATTGTATGTGGGTGATTATTTTTCAGGTCTTGATATCCCTTCACTGTTAGAGGGAGTGCTAGAGCTGTTCACCTTGGACCAGTATGTTGACAAACCGGTAAGTTTGAAGTATGAATAACCATGATGAAAGGCATGCATTGTCTGTCAAACTGTTCGATGCTCTGTATGGGTACTATTAGTGAATCCCATTTCTAGTGTCCCCCACCCTGCAATGGCTGGAATAACGCTAGACGTGTGAAACTCAAGTCACTCCGTGATGTGTGATAACCTGAATGCTCATGTTTTTGTTTCAGGTGGGCAGAATGGATCTTGTTGATTCCGACAAGGCAAAGAAGCTCCCAACTCCAGTCTGGGACAAATACATGGCCATTATCAACAAAGCAGAGGGCAGAGAAGTAAGTTTCTCTCATTCTAGTACCTATATGTGAGATGAAATCACTTGTGAATAAGAGTCAGACTTATGGTGAGAACATTTTATTTGCATGGTGATATCCTTTTCAATTCATGTTCTATCTTTGCCATTGCTTAATTTTGGACACCATTTGTTATCTAACACCTTGGCACCCTTTAGTATCAGAGCCTTTGGGCACCTTATTCCTTTGGCTACCTCTACCATCCTTGTCTTTGGACACTGTTAATAATTTCAGCCTTTGCTAGCATAGCCCTTCATCACCCTTCAGTTTCTCTTCCCTTAGACACCCTTCACTATTGTTAAATGTGCATGCTTTACTTTCTCAGCCAGTAGGATCCCTTTACTGTAACCCATGGAGATCCGGGTTAGAATTGACCTTCATGCGTGTCGTAAGAGGCGACTAGCCTGATTGGGTGGTCAGGCTTGCTGACTTGGTTGACACTTGTCATTGTATCCCAGTTGCGTAGATCAATCCTCATGCTGTTGATCACTGGATTGTCTGGTCCAGACTCAATTATTTACAGACCACCGACATATAGCTGGAATACTGCTGAGTGAAGCGTTAAGCAACCAACCAACCATTTACTGTAATAGGCACAATACACTTGATTATCGCTAGCCATGGGCAGCCTTTACTATCAGGTCCCTTCACAAAGCTACCCCTTTCCTTCTTTTGAGTCATTTTTTGGTTAAGGGAGGTCACGAACAGATATTGTAGATTGGAGGCTGACCAAATCATTGCTAAGTTTCACTCCTCCCATCAAAATACATGGAGTTGGACAACAGGGTCTTGCACTGCCCGTTATACATCTGCAGCTGACTGATACAGGCTTTGTGAGGGACCTGCCGTGATGTTGCAGGAATGTTGCCAAAAGCAGTGTAAAACCATACCCACTCACTTTGTGATGGTATATGCTCCTTAAAGGAAGTGTTATTTAGATGGGGCATTTTCTGTCAAGTAATAATGAATTTGTTTCATTTGATATTACAGGTTCCTGTGGAACTCATAGAGAGATTTCAGTTTTATGAACGAGCCAAGACAGCTTTTGCCATTGTGCATACAGGGTATGTGGAATTGGACATGACTTCATACACCCCCAATATCAATGCAGGATCATCAGATTTATAAATCACTTTCAGTAAAGGTCATTTAAGAAAGGTGGTGTCTGGTCGTAAAAAAATACCATGGTTAAAGAGTTGTGGCCAGAAAGATTTTCTCACAACTCTTTGAGGTTGGAGGGAAGACTATGATTAGCAAATTTCCTTTTTCTTAATATTTATACAAAAACCTTAACTTAGGGCGTGGACAGTTATCATTAAGGGGAGGAGTTAGGGGAAGGTTGGTGGTGGACCCGGGATTTATGAAAGAATATTCATAAAGTGTGTGAGGATATAAGCAAAGTATGAATCGGTCCTAAAATCAATCGGGGGGCTGTGGGGTAGCCCAGTGGTTAAGGCATTTGCTCGTTACGCCGAAGACCTGGGTTCATTTCCCCACATGGGCACATTGTGCGAAGCCCATTTCTGGTGTCCCCGCCCGGATATTGCTGGAATATTGCTAAAAGCAGTGTTAAACTAAACTCACTAAAATCAATCTGAGCCTGCCTCCAACAAGTAAGACAATTTCATGGTCAAAGGGAGATAATTAGTCATTTAATATGGAACAGTATGTCTAAGCTTCAGAGAGTTTAGCTCATGTAAATGAAGGATGTTTGAGATCGTCAGACAATCACAGTGACTATGATAATCAGATATCAGCTCACTGCAAGAGGATTCAGCTTAATTTCTTTTCCACTTCAAACCTGCTTTTATTTTTTCCATTTGGAAATAAGATTCAGCAATGAAATATGCTACGGCCTTATGTGCTAAGAGCACGAAGGGTATAAAGTAAGTAAGCAATGAAATATGCTGCTCAGTATGCTTTCCTCAGAGCTGAGTGACTGTCTCACGAGTTCACCTGACACAACCTTATGGAGGGAATGTCAGTTTTTTACGCACAAAGGTAACCTGATTAAAACGTGTAATTTACATTGTGTGAAAAGTGAACCTCCGGTACCCCAGATTGACACATGTCATCATAGCCCAATTGTGTAGATCAATGCTCATGCTTTTGATCACTGGATTGTCTGGTCCAGATTCAATTATTTACAGACCACCGACATATAGCTGGAATATTGCAGAGTGCGGCGTTAAACAACAAACCAACCAACCAAACCTTCTAATCTGGACTTGGCTTACCCAGGCTGCCAGGGTTGAGAGTTTTGTTAGCTATCCGATGCCAGTTGACATCTCCATCGCACCTTAAGATGCTGTATTTGGTGCACTTAATACTTCATACATTATATATGCTCATAAAATGTTATTGTTTATCTTTTCAGTGAAACAGCTCAATATGGTAACATCATTCTGAAAAAAGGAGTCTGCTTATAGACAGTCACTGGAAGAAGAATTCAAATACATGTGCAATGAAAGAATAATTCCAAACACATTTTATATCGAATTTTAAGAATATTTGATTATATAAAACTGATTGATGCTCAATCAAATGTGGGTTTGAAACATTTTCCTCAAACCACTCTGCATGAAGATCTCCCTCAGTAAAGTGTCATAGAACCAAAGAGGGTAGGTATGTGACCTTGTTGAGCAGGTCGTGGGGTACATTTGTGTCAGATTACAAGTTTATGTATTTGTTTTATAGTATTGTCCGTCATTTTGTAGCCATAACAGCGATGGCACTTTTGTAGAGGCAGTTGTCCGGGAACTGGAAATCTAAAGTGGGTCTTATTTCTAGAAACTGGAAATAACCGTAATATGTCTGTACCTAGTCAGGTGTTTTTTTCCATTGTGATCTATTTTCAAGACAAGAATTATGTGATCTTGGAGTAAGGGCTTTGATTTTTATGAGACTGCATTAACAGATTCTATTCTTCCTGGCTCTGTACGAGACAGTACATTAGTTGGCTGGCCCGAAGTGTTCATGGAGACCATTTATCATGTTAGATCAGACCAATTATATTTCTTGTTTTGCGGAGCCCCGGGGCGTATTTTTTCAAGAATGAGAACAAAACTTGAATTAATTTTCCCTGCACTTAAAATAAAATACTAATTTTTTTATTGGCCAAAAATGTAAACTTACAAAAAACACATTGTTTTTTTATTGTTTTTTGCTTCATGTACACTTCATAAATTTCCAAAAGGAAAAATAGTTGTCAATGTCGCCGAAACACACAAGAAAATATTATTGGTATTTTTGGGGGGGAATCAAAACTCATTCCAACAATGTGCCAACCCCTATACTAAGCTGTATGTTTTGGATGCTGTGTGCATATAAACAAGAAAATATGGTACACAAATGTTTGATCTTTTAAGGAGGGAACTTCAAGCAGGACAAACAGCAGTCCTGGCATGTTTGACTCAAGTCATTAACACACCACTTAAAATTAATCATGTACTTAAATACATGTATACCAGTTAATTATTACCCTAAATACTCGGAGGCAATGTCATGGCATGCCACTTAATGTACAGATTGTGGGGGAGGCTTGTAGACTTGGTGGATACATGTCATAACCCAGCTGGGTATATCTGTGATCATATCAGTCACTGGATTGTGTGGTCCTGACTCAGTTTAATTACAGAGCTGAAATATAGCTAAGTGCAGGTTAACAAGCAAACACAACACCTACATAGTCTCACTGATTTTAGGAGTGCTTCAGGCTAATCATGAGTTGTATTCTCCACAATACATGTAGACCAGGAAAGAACAGAAATCACTGAACCAGTGGAGCCATTCCATTTTCATTTGGGTAACAAGCCATTATCAGATCAGTCATGTTTATTTCCTTGTTGTTTAATGTCACACTCTTCCAGCTATAAGATGGCAGACTATAAATAATAAAATCTGAATAAGTTGATCCAGCATCGACATCTTGAGCATGGATTCACACAATCAACCAAGCCTTTCTTGCCAACACAATGCAGTGGCCTCTTACATGTAGCAAGGGTAATCAAAGACATTTATTGTTACACAGAATCCCCTCATTTTTACATGATTTGATGATCTCACAGTAAATAACATTACCTTTGTTACTGAAGTACAACCTGACTACCGATAATGCAGTGGGAAACTACATTTGGCTCACTTGGTTGTGAATGATATTTGTTTCTAAATGCAGGGATGAGGATGGGTAGGAGTTAAAAAAGAGGAATGAGTTCTGGGTCTTGGAGGCTTTGAGTCCTCATGCAAGAACCAATGACCCCAGCGCGATCAAATCCACGGAATTCGCGCAAATTCTCATCCCTGTAAATGTGTGTTTTGTTTTGTGTCAAGATGGGAGTAGTTTTGTAATGTTTTCTCTCCTGCTTCTAGCTCTGCTGGGCGAGCTGTTGTCCACGTTAACTGTATTATTGGTAGGAGACTGTTTGATGAGTGTTTGTCTGGGTGATTATATTTTGGAATAAAGATATTTTATTAAATATGTGTTATGTAGCTGAGTTGGATTTTACACTGCAACATTTCAGCCCTGTCGAATGTTAATGCTGTGAGCAGGAGTAGAGTGAGTGAGTTTAGTTTTATGCTGCAGTCCGCAATATTCCAGCTATATGGCGGCGGTCTGTAAGTAATCGAGTCTGGACCAGACAATCCAGTGGTCAACAGCATGAGCATCGATCTATGCAATTTGGATACGATGACATGTGTCCACAAGTCAGGGAGCCTGACAACCTGATCCCGTTTGTTGCCTCTTACTACAAACATGGGTTCCTGAAGAGCATATTTAACCCCGATCTTCACAGGTCGTAGCAGATTACCTATCTGATGTAGTTTATACAATGATATGACTGTCTAGAGATTCAATGGTCATTGGTAAGTGGCAGCAGGGATCAATCCAAAGATATTGCCTTGCCTGGCACTCGGCATTACAGAGATAAAACAAGGACTTGTTGGGATATAGGGAACGGTGGATTAGCTTAGTGGTTAAAGTGTTCACTTGTCACGCCCAAGAGTTGAGGTGAGGTGAAATGGGGTTTAATGTCGTGCTTAAGAATGTTTTGCTCATATGATGACGTGTATGCATGTGTACTAGCCCAGACATAAGCTGGTTTTATAGTGCTAGCTCACTGAGATACCATGCCCAGAGATGCCAACCCTGTTTGGGCCTAAGTGTAATACTGGAGGTCAAAAAGTAATTTGGACCTCAAAAGTGTAATATTTGAAACACTTACTTAGTGAAAGGTGATAACTTAATAAAAATTATTTTAAAAAGGTTTATTCACATGAATAGGAAAGATTCTAGACAGAAATACACGTGACCAATCATTATGAAGTTCAATACATTGAAACCTGTGGGTCAGGTGAGACAAAAAAAAAAAAATTCCTCACAAGTTAATTGGAATGAGCTCGATGCTAAGAGTAAGCGATTCCTATCGGTATAAGTCTGTTTCTGAAACCCTGCACCTGTGCGTTACGAAAAAAAAAATATGTGTGAAATTTTATCCACTTTATTGATTTTCGCAAAACGAGCAGAAAAGCGTAATTTTTGTAGATTAAGTGTAATGGCGTAATTTAATAGTCAAAATCGTAATAATTACGCCCAAAACGTAAGGGTTGGCATCTCTGCATGCCACTGTTAAGAATGAATACCCACTCAGACACATTATACTGACTCCGAGCCAACCAGTCCTTGTCGTACCCATTAATGTCGTGCGCCAGGCAGGGACAACAAGTACGATATATTAACGTCTTTTGGTATCGGCCGGGGATCGAACCTGCGACCTTCCACTCTCTGGAATATAACAGCAATGTCTGTGTGTCACCATGATAAGATATGTAAGTTTGCTGTTAACCGAGCCGAACAAAGTCCTTGTTTTACCCATTAATGCCATGCAACAGGCAGGGAACAACAAGTACCATATTTTAATCGAACCCACGACCTTCCGCTCTCCGGGCAGACGCTCCAACCACTACACCATCATCTAAATAACTAAATACTTAATATCATGATGAATTCTGAGAAAGATAATATGACACTAATCAAGAGTGAAGCTTTAATTTCACATACCTCCAACACCAGATTTCCAAATTATCAGCATTACATTTCTTCTTGTCTTTGGCGAAAATTTATTTAATCGACGAAAATATATGTTTTTGTCTGTTTATCCAAATTTTAACGTATTGTCTTTAAACTTTGTAGAATTTCTAGTGCAATCATATGAGCACAGTTTGAGGCTAAAATTAGTAGCGAATACTAAAAATTTTTAGAGGTTGGCATTCTGGTCCAGTACCATCTGTCAGTAAAATAATCTCTGAATGTGCAGTTAAACCCAAATTCCCCACATTTCATGAAATTGAACTGTGTAGATACTGTATTTGTGATTTCATGAAGTCCTTTGATCATTTAACTTGTGAAAGAAAACAAACAAATTTATTTGTTTTATATAATATATTTATCATATTTATTCTTAATAAGGCCATGTCTTGAGGACATTGAACAATACACTGTAGATCAGTGACAACGCTGTGATGGAGTTCCAAACACTCACTCATTCACTCAACATGTTAAACAGGTTCATAATAAGCATAACAACTATGATATATGAACTCACACAGGTGAGAAACATCTAATCTTCTTCCTATAGTGTTCAAGCATGCTGTTTCACTGCCATATATCGATAAAATTAAAATATGAACCATATTCCACATAACCCATCTAAATATCATTTCACTTGCTACCAAACCTAATTTGCCATATCTGTTTATTACATTGAACTTTCAGAACAGATATGAAGTGTCAGTAATTATCAGCTTATATAATTCGGAAATGTTAAAAAAACAAGTTTTCAACTTTGACTAGTGTATGTCATCAGAAAACTGTTAATTCTTCTCACCGAACATTTACCACATTTATCAGCATTCTAGCACCTTGAAAATAACAATCATTAACTTCAGACACATCATCATGATCATTGGCATGCACAGACATACATCAACATATTGCAACATCATCAACAAAGAGGACAGTTTAGCAAAAGCCATGCATATTCAGGGATTAACCTTTGAGGTCATTAGGCTTTGCCCTCTGAAAATGGTTTATTCCACAAATGTGAATGAATTTCACTGAAAAGGCCCATGCTCAACATGAGTTAACCAATAACATTCCACAAGCATGCATTCCTTGAAGTTTTTAACATGCAGTGTTTAAATAAATCATTAATATTAAGACAGCCATGATTACCGTGGTTGCTGGGAACTTTCTTTACAGTGGCAAATGATTTGTTTGTTTCCTGTTTGACGCTGCACTCAGCAAATAATCGTGTCTGGACCAGACAATCTAGTGATTGACATCATGATCATCGATCTACACAAATGGGGAACATGTAAGTGAATCTGACCACCCAGTTCTGTTAGTTGCCTCTTACAACGCTGCAATAGAAAATGTCACCAATGTAACACTGATATTGCCAGCCCAGTCTGTAACCATGGTAACTACCAAACTTGAACAACCACATCAAAGTTTCAAAAAGGATGAAAACTTTATGTACAATTCATTAACATGAACAAACTTCAGTTAGGGAGTCACTATTTGATAATCAGTTGAGATATTTTGAAACAAAATTTTGTTCTGGAACATTATGGTAAATGCATTTTTCCTTGGGTAAGAAAAAATATTTCAAGAGGCATGTTGGTGTAAATGTAAATAACTAGTTGGATCCTAGGCCTCTTTCATGGTTAAAATACCAGACCCCTCACCAGAATATCTAAGTGTTAGTCACCTTTTGCCATCACCATTATCAAAACAAGACCAACCTGTATCATGCTGTATTTGGTTGGAGTAGGGATCACAGATTAAGTCTGGTGACATGTTTATCTAGATCCTAGTTTCTGTAAAACTAATGTCAGAAATACTTTTAGAAATAAATACGAAGGGTTTGTGTATGAAGCTGTGGGGAAGGGGAGACAAAAGGTGACTGGCTGCAATTCTGAATACTACACGTACATCAACACATCAGAATCTATACAGACTTGACGTATTATCATGATTGGTAATATTCTGTGATATTGAGTATGATCCTCATTGCCAGCTGAACTGCATCTAAGCAGTATCCATAGCAACCTCAACTTTACAATTCCTTCATTCCAGCCGACTCAAACACTATCAGTAGACATTTCAGTCCTTTAAGTTTTATGGGAGACTGTATTCATCATCATCATCATCATCATCATCATCATCATCATCATCATCATTGAATGGCAACAGCAGATTCACCACATACTTGCCTCCTTGATATTAGCACAACCTCATTACACATCCAAATGTTTTCCTGTTTCCATAGTAACAAAACTATTCCAGCACGAGACTTTGACTTTTCACATCAGTACCAGATGATTTATCTCTGATGCTGTTACCTTTAGGTTTCTTGTATGAGAGCAAACAAAGCTTCAAGCTCAGAGCTATATTAGTTATAGTTCATCTACATGTTCTAGTTGTGTTAGCCGTTGTACCAGTCGAGGAACAGGAGAGAGAACGAACACACCACCAAGAAGAACAGAATCCATACTCGAAACTCAGCTTTCTTCTTGATCGCCTGGAAAAAGTCGTCTTTGATCAGAAAATACACAATATAGCTAGAAATATTTACATTAAACATGACATGCAAAAGAGGGGGATGTGAATCACATTTTGGATAACATCAAAGACTGGGAAAACATGATACAACTTGTAGGATTCACATAACACATGGCATGAGAGGATCAAATGATTCACATTAGGGATCAAAGGATTCACATTTTGCATAACATTAAAGGCTGGGAAAGTGTACCTTTAACATGACACAGCTTGTAGGGTTCACATAACACATGGCATTCGATGATGAAATGATTCACACTAGGGATGAAATGATTCACATTTTGGATGACATTAAATGCTGGTATCTCTCATATACCAGCACAGGTTCCTGGGAATTTTTTTCACCCAACGGGGCTCAATACCTTCATGCATATAGATAAAGTATCACCATTAGGGGTGACTATTGAGGAGGAAACAACTATTGCGATAGTGGTAGTCTATTGCAACATACTATTGCGATAGTGATTGTCCATTGCGACCAACCAGTGCAATACTATTGCAATAGTTTTTTTCTCTCCTTGAATTGTCTCAATTTAAGTCGTATCCCAAATGACTGTATAGTTTATATGAAAGAAAAAAAAGTTGAAGTAGTTTCAGTCTCTTTTAATAACTGACAAGACACTTGAATCCCACATCAGGTAAGCAGTTAAACATAAACTCAATGAAGCTGCAAGTCTGCACTCTAAACCAAAGTGGACGAATCTGGTACTTCCTGTATTTTGCACTGCGCATTTATCAACAGAAGTCAATTACTAAACTATCGATAGTCACCAAACTATCGATGCATCAATAGTTTTTCGTTTCTACCATCGATTACCATAATTGCTATCGGAGAATCAACAAATTGGAATCCATCGATAGTTTGATGCATTGTTACAGCCCTAATCACCATGGTAACATACCTCCCTGATTTCCTCATTGGCATCTTTAATATTCTCTGTGGATCCCACGGTTGTGTTGGCTATTCGGTCTATATCCTTCTCCTGGAGCACAAGTCAAGGTCATTAACACGGTAACCGTGGTAACAAAGCAAACACAACATAGATCACCATAATTAGATCTTTTCTCTGATAATTACCCCTCTTTCCCTAAAATTCTAACAAACATGACCAAAAAATATTTGTGTCACATGAATCAGATTCTACCTTGCGACATGTGTGGGGTTCTTTAAAGATGAAATTTTTTGAGAGATTGTAAAGAAATGATGCAGAAGCATCGCAGAGAGATGAAATTCTCAACATCCCAAGCTTCCGTTACTTTCAAAGTTTGCTTTGAGTTTACTTAACATGGCCTCCTTTGGACAGAGAGTACTGAACTGGAGAATGAAGAGTAAATATCTGATTTTAATGAGATATCTTGCTTGGTATCTGACCAAGGTTGGATTTAAAAGTGTTTTATTCGAAAAACTCTTACCTGTTCTAAAACTTTTTCTGCAAATATTTCTTGCAGTTTTGCTATTTCAACCACTTTCCCTTCTATTTGCCTGAAACACAACAGAAGACTCTGTTCACCATGGGCAGGTGTGTATCACAGATTAAACTGATTCTGTGGATGACTGTGTGTTTGTGCTGTTGGATGACTATGACTGGAGTATTGATAGGAACATTCCTAAATAGGCTACTTGTTTTGCCATAAATCAAATCAAGTACATCCTGAAATACACAATGCCATTTTTAGAAAGTGGTCAAATGCAACATATGTTATATTTGGGATTGCACTTTCTTAGTAAAGTAGACTAGACTACCAGTTGTCCGATTTCCATTTTTGTGGAAGCTGCGGTGGCTGAGCGGTCTAGGCAACTGACTTTGTGTGCTGGCGATTAGGTGCCTGACTCTGAGGGTGTGGGTTCAAATCCCGGATGGCACTCAACCCAAAAAGTACTAGAATCTGTACTTTACTAAGAAAGTGTAATCCCAAATATAACAGATGTTGCATCCTTAAAACACTTGACTCAACCCATGCTTCAACCCTCAATTTTCTACCACTCTAAAGTTTGGGTCAACTTATTTCACAAAAGAAAATGAATAATCATATCTTGTTTTCAACACAGAACTATAATTCATGTAATTTGAAGTTATTTAATCTAACATTTCATAAATCATTCAAGACAACACTAAACTATATTCTACTAAGTACATGGAATTGCATCTAATATCTTTCTTTGACTGAAATATACAAGTGTCAGTTACATACTTTACTTCATCCGACATGCTGTTCATTTCATTGTAGATTGCTTGATTTTCTTGTTCAAACTGGAAATATATAACAACAAATATTTTCAAAATGTGTTATGATAACAGCAACAAGCATACATTCAGGAGAATAATTAATATTCATAAAAACATGAAACATCAGAGTATCCCAATAGTGTAGGTTGATGCTCATGATGTCAATCACTGGATTGTCTGGTGCAGACACGATTATCTACAGATCGCAGTCATGTAGATGGTATATTACTGAGCGTCACAATAAATAACTGACAAGCAAATACATCAGCTGACAAACAATACATACCCGTCACTATTACACAACATAGTGTCCATGTTCGAGTGATGGAGAAACATAATGTGCATAAAGACTTGAGTGAGTGAGTTTTAGTTTTACACTGCTTTTAGCAATATTCCAGCAATATCATGTTGGGGGACACCGGAAATGGGCTTCACACATTTTACCCATGTGGGGAATCGAACCCGGGTCTTTGGCGTGACGAGCGAATGCTTTAACCACTAGGCTACCCCACTGACCCTGTATAAACACTTGAAATATGAAGATGAGAACTCCTTTACTACCAACTATACTGAAAATAAACTAGAGATTGTACCATTTGTGCTTCTTCAGGTGAAATTTCATCATCATCGTCAGCATGTCTGCTTTTTTCCATGGCAACTCGAGACTTTTCAGACTTCTCTATAAACAAAATGTTAACCTTTATAGCACTTGACAAATGATAACACAATAACAACGCTGTAACATATATACTTGTCATTATTATGACTCCAGTATTCCAAGTCAAGCAATCAAGCAAATGAATATATCTTTATGTTGTACGGCTTTCCTAAAGTAAAGTACCTTATTACCCACGTGGTCAACGTATGGGTAGTTGCATACTAATCTTGTACGTCACACGAGTGTCGTATCGCGTTGACCTGTGTCGTAACGACTTGACCTGAGATTCTAACGATTTGATTGGATAACTGATGACCTCTCAGTTAGGTCATGTTGTGACGGAACTACTTTTTCATTCATAACAAACGCGTGAATTCATTCATTCTACAACTTATATGCATTGTTGGAATGTAAACATTGCGAACGTTGTCGTATCGCTGTTTATTTGTGAGTCGAACTGAGACAATATATCCGTTGAAAACATAAACGCAATGTTTCCACCAGTGATGTTAGCCGAGTGAAGCAGTTGCAAACAAAGATAAGGGATGCTACGGAGTAGTTTACTGTAGGAAGCTGTACGAGGCAATGACAACTGACATGCATCTTGACATCAGTTACCAAGGGGACAGATGAGAATGGCTTAGTGACCTCAATACAGTGTGACGTCATGTAAAAGTGACTACAGAACAAAATTCTTCCACAACCTCTTTATGAAACCGGTTTTGGTTTGAAACCATATCAATAACAAAAATACGCTATTTTGTCAATTTAATGCATGTAAGAGGTGGGTAATAAATAAAATACCACACTCGGTCTCATTACATACGAATTATACGAAACTCGTGACCTTCCTAAGGTACCATTAGTAGGACACTCATTTCGTATAATTCGTATGTAATGAGACCTCGTGTAGTATTCTCTATATATCCAACGGTTTCAATACTTCACTGAAACATTACCCTACCTGACTGTTTAACATCAGCTTGTGGTGTTGGGACCGCATTGCCATCAAGATGTCTCGCGATGTGCATCCTCCTTTCTGGCTCAAGACGAGATCTGCATACAAGTAAAACAGAGAAACATAACACTGAGTTACAACAAATAATTTCACCTTGGCTATTATTACCCACGTGGTCAACGTATGGGTAGTTGCATACTAATCTCATACGTCATACGTGTGTTGTATCGCGTTGACCTGTGTCGTAACGACTTGACCTGAGATTGTAACGATTTGATTGGATAACCAATGACCTCTCAATTAGGTCACGCTGTGATGGAACTACTTTTTCATTCATAACAAACACGTGAATTCATTCATTCTACAACTTATATGCATTGTGGGAATGTAAATATTGCGAACGTTGCCATATCGCTGTTTAATTGTGAGTCAAGCCGAGACATTATAATCGTCTTAAAGCTTAAACGCAAAGTTTCCACCAGTGATGTTAGCCGAGTGAAGCAACTGCAAACTAAGAAATGGGGTGCTACGGAGTAGTTTAATGTAGGAGGCTGTACGAGGCAATGACAACTGACATGCATCGTGATGTCGGTTACCAAGGAGACAGACGAGCAAGGCATAGTGACGTCATTACAGTGTTAAGTCAAGCAAAAAGTACAACATTCTTCCGCAACCTCTTTATGAAACCGGTTTCAGTTTGAAACCATAAAAATAAAAAAAATATGCTATTTTGTCATTTTAAAGTATGTAAGACGTGGATAATAAATAAAATACCACATTCGGTCTCATTACATACGAATTATATGAAACTCGTGACCTTCCTATGGTATCTGACAGAGTGAAGGCGAGCATGATCATCATCATCATCATGACAAGGCATTTAGTATGATACTTACATCCTCTTCCTGTCTACGACCCTCTTCACTCTCACAGCTCTCTGCTCACTGTAGATCTTACAAACAACTGCAAGGTAAGAATATCATCAAACATATAAGTGATTGTTGTCATGTCATCATTTACCATGTCTCCACCAAATGTCATCTTAATCACTCAACCACTGAAGCTGGTTTGAAGTGTCTATCACATTCAAGATACTGGTTATTAGTATTTTGTTGGACAGAATATCACCCTTGTGTTTATTAATAGAATTGAAACCGTTACCCTTTAAATAAGCTCCAATGAGAACCATGACAGATTGCCTGTGTTCCTTGACCTGGGGATGAGCTCGCTGACTGTTTGCCTCCTGTCGAAACATGGCGATCGTCTCCTGGCACTTTTTTAATGATCTGTTGGGAATCTGTGTCAATCTGATCCCGCTCTGCATCAGTCATCTTTGATGATTCTGTTGCCAAGTGACTAAAACACAACGAGTACCATAAAAGTAATTATTTTATGTGGCGCAGACATGTGTGTCTGGTATGCACAAAAGAACAGAATAGGTCTTCAGCAACCCATGCTTGCCACAAAAAGGGACTATGCTTGTCGTAAGAGGCAACTAACGGGATCGGGTGGTCAGGCTCGCTGACTTGATTGACACATGTCATTGGTTCCCAATTGCGCAGATCGATGCTTATGCTGTTGATCGCTGGATTGTCTGGTCCAGACTCGATTATTTACAGACTGCCACCATACGGCTGGAATACTTCTGAGTGTGGCGTAAAACTAAACTCACTCACAAATGAATAGAATAGACAAAGAAAAATATATAAATATCATCCCGAGGGATGCACAAAATTAGTCATTGGACCAAATCTATGACAAGAAATACTAGCTCCCTGTAATTAAAATTATTGTCAAATCTTGGGGTTTACAGGGCTCCAGATAACTTTTGGGGGTGCGAGTGTACTTACACATCATATTGCAAGTGGAGGTGTACTGAGAATTTTGAAGGAGTACTGACATGTTTTTGTTGATGTGGTTTGTCTGGACGATTCATTGATCACTATTTCCAACCATGTATTTGTATTTGAAGACGCGTGAGAAATAACTGAGCGACTGTGATACGCGAAATGTCAGGTCCGACTGGATATAAATAGGAACAGTGTAGTTTTTAGCCAATCGAAAAATAGTGACGCATATCGTTGCATGGCAACGCAAGGGATTCATACTGTCGGGGTTTCCTTATGTGTCAAATCGTGTTTCGCAAAAGAAACTTAACAAGTATTTATCCGAAAAAGATTTCCATTTGCACGATACGCACAGAAATTAAATGTTAGATGTACGAAGGTATTTATGTGCGTACACGATACGCTTGAAATCTTATATTGTGTCGTACTTAATTGATTTTGAGGCGTACATTACGCCTGTACGCCACTTATCTGTAGCCCTGGGTTTAGTTCACTACACCATTTCATTACTTCACAGGACACTCGTTAGTCCTGTAGGGACCCTTGAAATTAGTAACCGGTTTTCTTTTGGACACCAAGTTTTGTTAGTTAAACCCTAGATGTGCATGAAAGGAAATGTCATGATACGATATATATCACGGAACACACTTTTACATGAAATTGTGTTGAACCTCCATAACAATAGATACACATATATCAGAGTAGATTCAGGACAAGGAAAACCAAGCTAGAGAATCTTTTTGTAATAGTTCTTTTAGTGATCAAAACAAATAACAACAGAGTTTTCAATATCTGACTGACAGAACTGTTTGGGTGTCATCACAGTCATTGTAAAAGTAAAATGGTATATATTTCAGCAAGAGCATTGTCTTGTAAATTGTGTATCGTCTTTGTTGCATGGACTGACTGAGTTTGGTTTTACGCCTCTTTTAGCAATATTCCAGCAACATCACGGCGGGGGACACCAGAAATGGGCTTCACACATTGTACCCATTGTTGCATGGAAACTCACAAGGCACTGTCCACCAATGCCTTCTTTCAACCCCAAGGATTATCATGTGACACTGGGCACAAAAGTTTCCCTGAATCACAAAAGAATCAATTACTACATGACACAGAGAACTATTGTTCCTCTAAATCACAGAATCAAGACAAGGTTCCTGCTTCGTTGTTTCTGTAAAGATAAGTTGTTCATACTAATGAAGGCAGCCCTGTAACCATGGTTACCAAGACCAGAACATACAACTGCATCAGTAGACTTAGACCCTACCTGCCAGCATTGACATATTCCTTCCGATGCTGAAGCAGGAAGTCACGAAGCTTGGTTATGGTATTAACCTGCAAAGGAACTTTTGAATGTTAACATGGGAAGCAGTAACTGATGAAGAAGTAATGCTATTAGGAATAAGACTCCTACTTATTCTAAGACCTGTGCTTCTACTTAGTTATCATTTCCAAAATCTTTAAACACTTAATATTCAAGAAACTGTGTAAAAGTTCCTCATATTAAAAAAGTCATATAATTTTACTTTCATGTGAATAATGTTTCTGAGTGACAATGTCAAATACACACCTTAAGACTGGGGATTGCCTTAGTTCTCCACATATTTGTTATGCTGGCATTTGAGTTTCTTTTGGTCAATTTACCTACACAAATTAGCAGTGACTTTATCTACATAAATGAGCAGTGTTTTAATATCTTTCAAGATCATTATTGTTTCATTGGGAAGATGTGTAAGGAATACCACAAAGTCTTGACATTAAAAATTTACATTACTTCTGAACCGATTCTAATGAAATGCAGTATCAAAACTGGGCAACTGAAATTGAGTAATGGTATAGCTCATTCGGTGGCTATAATCTGCTAATCATCTGCATCGTTAACACTGGTCAACAATATTATACACCATCTAGATCTACTTGCCACATCTTTGGCTTTCACTTCAAAGTCTCCTTTCTTTCTTTTGGTACTAAGAATGGTACTTTTGTCATTATCCGGTTCGCCGATGACCTTGTTGCGTGATTTGACAGCCTTCACTGTCGCTTTAAACAGATTCGTGATATCCATGTTGGCAGTGTTGACGAAAGTACGTCACACGCGAGACTCTTCACAACTTCCGGTTGAACAAGTAAAAAAGAAAGATTCTGTGACGAAAAATGCTTGAGGCTATTTAACGTCAGCCGATTTACAGATCAAACTACTACACCCTGTTGATAGTATTGAGATGTATGTCTCTTATGTAAGTATAACGAATGAAGGGGGGAAGTAATTAGACAGTGAAATACCATTTCAATACTACAATATTCGTATCTGGTAATTCAGGTTTTTAAGGTTTGAAATGGCGAGTAGTTTATATCCGTTTTCTTTCCTTGTTTGGTCTCACTGTCAAAAGATGACATGAAATTATGTTCCATCGACATACAACAAGCTGTGTTTTAACGTTATTTGTTGTGGTTTTATTCAGCCCACCTTTGGTCATTGGAGGTAAAGATGGACCTGCTCTTGATGAGAATTATTTGATGGACGAATCGACAGGGCACACCTACGATCCTTATGGCCCACTGATAAACTGCTCATATTTGTAAGTGGGTGAATATTGAATGCATCCTCTCATGTGTCATTTCCCAGAACCCCAAAAGTCACTGCTTCAGTTACCGATCTCAGCTTACTGTAGCTGAAGGGGTCGTTATCGGCACGGGTACTACAGATGTGTACGTTTCTGTATACAGACATGTACCCTAGCCAAAATCAGAATACAGAAACGTACCCTTGGACGATTCCATTCTGCATTGTGGAGTTTCCTTGATCGGAACTGTAATCCTGTTGTATTAGATGCATTTTATATCGTTGCATAAGAGCATACACAGTAACGAATATTTCACGGTGCACAACGTACATCACTCGCAATCAGCTGAACGGGAACAACTACATACGGTTTCGGTTTTGGGTTGCGGAATATTGATTCGTCCGTCGTTTAGGCTACCAGGTACCGATATGGTCTCTGGTTTAGGGCACAGGGGCGTGTCAGGGAAACAGCGTGTCACGCTTAAGAAGAAACTCCAGCATTAAATAATTTGACAACAAAAGAAAAATACACAACATAACAGATATATGGAATATATAGACCCTACCCTAGTATTATATAAAACTTGCCATACATTGAATTCCTGTGTTGATTATTCAATGGGTTACCGAGTATGTAGTTTTCACATCATATCCTTGTATAAAAATACATCCTTCCGACATAATAGTAAATTTACTATCTGCAATACCTGGGTTGGTACATATCTGTTCCGTTATGTACCCAGGTGTACCGACTGTGGTGACGAGCCCCGGGTTCCTATATGCTTTCTAATGCTGTAATGTAGACTAACAACTAGTCTCTGATGAAATAAACATATTTTACAGAAAAACATATTTTAAAAAAAAAGTTTTAAAAAAATAAAATATAATGAAAAGGAACCCTGAGACTTTGGATATCTAGACTTGCCACATTTCTAGACTTGCATGGGCTTTCTTGAATATATTTGCTTCAGGGTCTATATGACAGACTAACCGTAATGATAATTAGCACAAACTGCCGACTGTGACTCTTGCTTCACAAATATCGCGTGCCTCTTTGATTCTTAGGGTATTTTACACCCAGCTCTATCCTTATCCTGTGGCGTGTGGTCCTGTGCACAGAGCTCAGGTCACGAATCAGTTGAAGTTAAGCAATGTCAAGCTCGGACAGTCCTTGGATGGGTGACCGTGTTTGGTAGCTTGACTCCTGAGAGTTTCTAGGACTTCAGTCCTGCCCCTCAACAAAGGACATGTGATACATGTGGTCTATCCTTAGGCAAGTGAGCTTTGTTCAAAATTGCCTCTGTTCACCCAGCAGAAAATGGGTACCCGGTTGATAAAGTCATGTGACTATAACCTTCGAACGGCCAACAGGCAGCTTGTGTTATCTGGGGTAATAAGAATCAGATTCTGATTAAGCGCTGCAAGCAAACACTTGGTGTTTGAAGACTGTGCTATAGAAGATTATTATTATTATTATCTACATTCTGATCAAGAGCCCATTCATGATCCTTACGGTTACGGGTTAGGACCTTATTTGTTATTAAACACACCTTGAGGGCAGGGCAACACCTGCAGATCCCATATGGTTCAGCTCTTTTAACATATAATCCAACACAAATGAAAGAACCTCAGTAATTTGTATAAGGCTTTCAAAGAAAGTGGCTACTGCACATTATCAGTAAGATAGATAATCTGGTGCTGATGAGCTGAGAAATGAGAACTATTGTGATGGCCCCCAGGATCCTGGGACAGAGTGTTGACATTTTACCCAAGATTAGCTTCAACCTGGCAATATAAGTTTGACCCTACGCATAGCACTAGCTGAAATCCGACAAGTGCACCACTCCCCCCCAAAAATGTGTTCCAAATACATGTTTGAATTCAAAATCAATATGCTTTTTTCCAGACCACTCCAGTTCCTCAACTGCTCCGAGCCTCTTGATCTGAATGGAAATAACACAGAGAGGAAACGGCTTGGATATGGGTGCTCAGAGGTAATTTCTTGTCATGCTTTTTAAACACCCCTCTTTGTTTTTTCTTAAATTCTTTTTCATTTTGCCTTTCAAACCTTTCTCAGCTTTCATTCACCTGATATAGGAGTTAGAATATTTTCCACAACATCTTCACATTACAAAAGTTGACATCCAAAATATTTCCCCCTTTATTGTGTTTATGGTAAAAGCTGTACACTTTCCTCAGGCATGTGAGACAGTTATAACTGTAGGCTTCATTCTCTGTTAGCCTTGTTATGTTTTTCAGCACCATGTCCAAGGTTGTCAATTTGTCCTCAGTGGTAAACATCTAAAAGCTGCACCATTTTTGGGTAGGGGTGAAACGGTATACCCCGGTATTAGTAGAACCACAGTATTTTGGGTAGGGGTGAAACGGTATACCCCGGTATTAGTAGAACCACAGTATTTTGCCTTTGGTTCAGCATACAGTAGTGCAATCCAAAAATTCGGTATTTTCGGTTTGCGTATCATCATTTTATTAATCTTTATAAACCTATTCTAAAATTTCTAGAAATTGATTCTTTTTGACAAAATCTATGCATTTCTGTAAGGTTTAGCACTTGTCAATTTTCTGCATTATGATCATATCTCATATACTGAACCAAAACATGCTGAACCGAAGGCTTTGTACCGCTATACTTACTGTACCGTGGTAAGAGCATACCGTTTCACCCCTAGTTTTGGGCTTTCCTCCGACATCAAGTCAAAATGTTGCATATGTAACTGAAATACTGTTCAGACCATGATCACTCTCTCACTCACTCACTCACACTCACTCACTCACTCACTCACTCACTCACTCACTAACTCACTCACTCACTCACTCACTCACTCATAGCATGGACATGTTTCAGTGGGGCAATGAAAGATATGAGGAGGTGCAGCAAACAGCTGTGATCTGTACAGCACTTCCTGGCATTGAATGCTTCGGGAACAGAACATTCCTCAAAGATGGATTTCCATGTATAAGGTAACACCAGGGAATGAAAGGCAGCATTGTCTGTTGCCCGTGTACAGTGACATTTACAGGTTGGGCAAGTTAGTCTGTCGCTGTATATAAACTTGGTGATCTGATGTGTACACTGTACTTTCATTTTTTTTTGACTGTACTTTCATTGAAATGTCACCAATTATTTCAAATGAAAGTGGAAAAATAGAGATTTATGATAACAGAACATATACCTCCTAGAGAATATCAATTTCTATAAGGCCAAAACAAAATGAATATTTCTGTTTCAGGTAACCATGGTGACAATAATATTAACAAAGTAACATGGACTTAAAACATATGGGACATATGGTGCTTTTATATTTTCTTCCCTTTTAAAACATGGGCTTCCTAACAGCTAATTCCAACTTTGATATTACATCTGGGACAGTGCGAGAAGTAGTCTTAAAATATTGATGGCCAGGTGTGTTATCTAGACTTAAAAGTTACTGTCCGGTTTCAAATTTTACTAGCTTAGATGACTAAGGACACTTCAGCATCTTTAGCTCAAATGTTATTTTGCAATCCACAGTCTTTTTTGGCTCATTGGTGCATGAGGACTGACTGCAATATCATTTGCATTTAAATATAAACTATTGTGAAAACATGAAATCTGCACATGTGCACACTGACTAACCCAAACAAAACTGGAGTCTATTCTTAATTAAAACTAGTTACACCTATTTCACTATGTTGATGCAATCAGTAACCATGGTAACGATGACAACAAAGAATCTTTTCAGGTACAATGGCCACTACTTCGTGACAACACTGTTGTACTCTGTCCTCCTGGGGTTCCTTGGTATGGACAGGTTCTGCCTCGGTCACACAGGTCAGTTTTATTATTCGGTCCAATTGTTTTACTTATGCAGACATGAGAATTTTCTGCTGATTGACGGAATTCCGGGATTTTTGTTTCATTTTGACTGTTTTTGAGATCGATGTAAATATGCAATAAAAGACCCCCCAAGACCACTGGCTAAATTTTCAGTGTTTTCTGTTCTTTGCCATTATCATCTGGTTATATGGTTATGATGTTATCAAAATGATGATTTACAGATTATATTGTTTTTATCCACTACGAGAAATATTTGAAAACGATGCGTTATATTTCTAAAACAAAATTGTCAAACTTTGTTAAGAGGGTCAAAATTTATCTTTGCCTCATCAGTGTTTTATTACTATCTTCATATTTCAGAATCAACTGATTTTTAAAAAATGCATGAAGTTTGTACACATTCTGTTCTGTTCAAATTTGTGGGATAAGGGAGATAACTCTAAATCTAACCTAATGAAACATGTCGCTTGTCTTGCTGTGCCTACCTAAAGCTGTCAGTCAGCTGTGGAGGATGTCTGTATAATGTGACAAGGTTTAGTGGCTGTTTGCTGATGATTGTCATGTCATTTCCTCCCAGGTACAGCAGTAGGGAAGCTGCTGACGGTGGGAGGCGTGGGGATATGGTGGATCATAGACATCGTCCTGCTGGTAACGGGGATGCTGAAGCCGGCAGATGACAGCAACTGGGTCCCATATTTCTGATACAGTGCTCCATTTGGGATGTAGTTGAAGATGGACTTTACATACAGAAGTCAACATGTGCTTCTTGTCAAATTGTTGCTCAATATTGTGCAGGGTTTGCAACTGATTGAATTTTTTTAGAATTCTGGAAAAGTTTGAAAAGAAGTGTGATGCTATGTGAAGACCATGCATATTCCTCACCAATTAACACCTTAAATTAATATATCCTTTAAAAGATTGAAAATAGATCTCTTGAAAATCTTTCCATCTTACGGTCGACATAGGGTTATCTCCCTTCAATGATTGACTGTTTCAGTGTGTGCCAAATTTTCAGGTCAGATTTCAAGAAGGATGATTTGAAAAGGCCATAATTAAACATTAACTTTTGTGACTGGAATTTTGTGGATACCAGTTTCTGAATGTAAACTGTGTTAAATGAAATCAACTGATTGAAACTGATGAACTCATGCAGAATATTCCCTGCTGAAGCCATTCTGCAGGCACAAACCAGTCTCTGTATATAGTCAATGTTAGGTGTTCTAGTTGGGCTATAGCTCCAAATGCTGGCACTAGGATCGTGTCATTTTGTTAGTGTTATAGCATTTCATTCTATCAATCAAGGGGGACTTAACCCAAATTTTCAGGAAAACATTCAGGATATTCTTAGATCATTGACAATACAGGGTATCAAATCTCAATAACACACTTGTGTCTCCATCTGACTTCCATACCTCCTTTGTCAGTACCCCAGATGGTGGGAGTACAATATACACCGTGTAATAATATGTGTGGTATTGACCATTTTCATACAATTCATAGTATGTAAAGTATACTGTTTCGTTACGAAGAGAAACATCACAGGCGAATGAAAGTGTGTAGATTTTAACTTGCACCAAAGCCATTGTGACCAAAATTTACCCATATACCAGTTCTCAGAAAAATTATTGCAATACATAGAGTTTTAAAAGCTTATTGTGGTATACCGGTAATTCAGTGCAGTCCTTGTCAAAGTTGGATTGATCCATCCTTGGTTGTCCAGGGTATGTACCTATTTGCCACCAAAACATCTTTTCGGAAGTGATCAAGTCGTTATCTTCATCTCGTCACTCACTGCCTGTGAAGGTCCAGGTTAGAATTGGTCTTCAGTGACCCATGCTTGTTGTAAGTGGCGAATAACGGAATTGGGTGGTCAGGCTTGCTGACTTGGTTGGCACATGTCATCATGTCCCAATTGTGTAGATTGAAGCTCATGCTGTTGATCACTGAATTGTCTGATCCAGACGCGATTATTTACAGACTGTCGCCATATAGCTGGAATATTGCTGAGTGCGGCGTAAAACTAAACTCACTCACTTAGACTGAGAGCATTTTGTGTGAAAGATGATCCTGTAGACAGGGATTTGTAAAAGGTATTTCACTTTTAACAGCGACCTGCGTGTTCACGTGCATGCGTGTATGTTTGTATTTGCTTGTATTAGTCAAAATAATGCCGATTTTAAAGTGCTTGCCCACTGAGATACCATGCCGGAGTTTAAATGAATACCCTCGCAGAATCTCTGCCTGCTGAAACTGACCAGTTGCAGGAAACACCGGACAGGGGAACAACAAGTACCATCACTTAAATGAGTGAGTGAGTAAGTTTTATGCCGCTTTTAACAATATTCCAGCAATATCACGGCTGGGGACACCAGAAATGGGCTTCACACATTGGACCCATGTGGGGAATTGAACGAGTGAATGCTTTAACCACAAGGCTACCCCACTGCCCCCAAATATATATGACATACAAACAAACATCAGTTAAGGTCTCGAGGTATGTTATGGTTGGGGATGGATCCACCAATCTCCGTCCGGAATCGATATCTCTTTCACCATGCAAGCGACTCATTAACATAAAAGTTTTAAGTCATTATCTTAACAATGAGCATGGGATTTGTGTAATTTTCTCTCATATCAATATTGTGTATTTATGTCATTCATTGTGTGATTAGAGTGAAAGGATTAGAGCGAAAGGATTAGAGCGAAAGGAATAGAGCGAAAAGATTAAAGCGAAAGGATTAGAGCGAAAGGATTAGAGTGAAAAGATTAGAGCGAAAGGATTAGAGCGAAAGGATTAGAGTGAAAGGATACTGCAGCTTTTTCAACATTTCAAAAGGTAACATTTAGGATTTGTCTGTAACATATGCTCACATGTCAGATGTGTTAATATGTAACCATTTAATTAATTGATGTATCTTTTGTTGAATCAGGTTTATAGATCTAATATTGAGAAAGATACTACCAAGCATTTTGTATGAAATTGTTTGGATTTGCGTCCCTGAATGTGTAGAGATGCAGTTTTCACAACAAAAAATGTGAAGCAGCTGAAAAATGTGAATGCTTTGTCAATTTATGTTTGTGTCATTCGCCAGGCTTTCAAACATCACAGATCACAATCATCTGCTGCATGTGTACAAACATCATTTTATGTAAATATGTGAACATGATGAAGAATAAATTGTGTGATGTTTCTTTCTGTAGTTGTCACTGATTCAGAACCAACAGCTGGTCTGAGCCAAAGTCCCGGTGAAGAAGCTTGGTTAGAAAGGCTCTCCAGAAGTTAGTGGTGTGTGGTGCTGTGCATTGAGCTCAGGTCACGAATCAGTTGAAGTTAAGCAACGTCGAACGTTTCGCAGCTTGTCTCCTGAGAGTTTCTGGGACTTCAGTCCTGCCCCACAACGAAGCACATGTGATACATGTGGTCTCACCTTAGGCAAATGAGTTTGTTCAAAATTGCATCTGTTCACCCAGCAGAAAATGGGTACCCGGTTTGATAAAGTCATGTGACTATAACCTTCTAACGCCTAACAGGCAGCTTGGGTTATCCAGGGTAATAATAATCAGATTCTGATTACAGCATCCAGTGAGCAACTAGTCAGATGGATACTAGGCGCTATATGAATGAATTATTATTATTATTATTAAGAAAGGATACTTTTGGGTATTGGGTGGTCAGATTCGGTGACATGGTTGATTTCCTTTCAGCGTATCCCAATTGTGTGGATTATTACTCGCTATATCTGTCTCTGGATATTCTAATCAGATTCGGTTGATTTCCTTTCAGCGTATCCCAATTGTGTGGATTGTTACTCACTATATCTGTCTCTGGACATTCTAATCAGATCCGGCTTGGTGGGTAGTTTAGTAGATATATTGTTCGTTTATTGTGCTGAAGCCCCATGTTCGATTCCCAAATTGGTACGTTATGTGAAGCCCATTTCTGGTGTCCCCGGCCATGATATTGCTGGAATATTGTTAGAAGTGGCATGTAAGCTCACACACCGAACAGGTGCACAGCATCCCATGGTGTCATAGAAATTGACTTAAAAAAAGGATTCTAGCACGACATTGTGTGATACTCGATTCTGATTGGCTGAGAGCTCATCAATACCGTACTTAAATGGCAGGTTAAGACCGCTAATTAAAGTGACCGATTCACCGCGTATGAATACAACGAACTCGTTGACCCTATTGTTTGTAAACAAACATGTCGGACATCGGCAATTTCTATCTCGGAAGCATTTTTGGTGTTTTTGAAGTAAAAAGCGAATGGTTTGAAGAAGAATTCCTTGACCCTAATCCCAGTAAAGAAACTACAAAGCTGGAAAATCTGTCAGCAGCGCAAAAGCGGCAGTATATTCAAACAGGGTCCAGATCTACGTGTTTTGACGTCGACAACACATGTCGGCCCACACGTCCTAACCTGACCGCTTCCGTCCCGGCCGTAATGCCCAGTCCTTCCACTTCCACTGTCCATGTATCCCACATAAAACGTGGCATGTCAGGTGTTTTCAAACTGGGAATAGTAGGGTGGTTATCAACAATTATCTCTGTGAATAAAGTTAGCGGCGACTAAGCTTAGTGAGTTCACGGCTTGAATTGGGGCAAGTCGATTGTCATACAGTAGGGAGATCAATAATTTGCTTGAGACAAAATCAAATAATTATACTTGCTCACTGTATAAACTGTATTGTTTTTATTTATGTATGCTACTTGTTACAAATACAAGCATACTGGTTCCTGAAATAAAGCATTTATGTTGTTGAAAATGTCTTATTTTGTTCATTACACAACCTGCCTCTCAACGGGATGATTCCAAGCGATTTCCAGGAAAAAGGCCCCTTTACGCCTTGTGTTCTTGCGTGCCAAACAGTTTGGTTTTAAAACGCTTATCAGTCGTGCTAGAATGAAGATAAAGCTACTCTGTTTTCAATTTTGCGGTCCTTTATCGTTGATTTAAGACTGCTAAATGTTCAATATAAAACCTCATGTTAACACGTTCGGTTTTTAAATTACATTTAGCGGTCTTAAGTCAACGATAAAGAACCGCAAAACTGAAACAGAGTAGCTTTGTCTTCTAATTAGTTGGCGTAACTACTCTTATCTAAGAAGCTGAGGCAGCTATTCAAACGGTACTCAAGGTACTACAAAGGTCCAGTAACTGAACGACATTCAATAATGTGTCTAAATGACTTTCATAAGGCTACTAGTGCTCAACTCTTCCTTGGTGTATATACCTTTGAAGTATTAATAAATACAATATTATTTTCCTCTAAACATGCGAAAAACAACAAACATCATTTTGAAGTGGCAGTATTTTCATTACAAAAATACATTTGAAGATAGTGGAAGCAAAATCCCTCAACCAAGCTTCCAACTCAATTCCCATAACAAAAAGCATTGTCAGCAACAGTACAGCCTAATCAATGATAATGTGACTGACACACTTTGACACTGTGACACCAGTAAGGTGACACTTGTTCTTAAGACAACACTGGCATAAATAGATCAAATCAACCAAGAGATCATTGATACTCCTGCTTGTAGGGCTGGCTGAAAAGATTGATAATCAGACAATCGTCTATAGGAAAATATTTTAGATTATCGGCATGAAAATGTGTCATCGATAATATAATACATTTACTTTTGTGCTAGAATAAAGTTTTGATTTACGCATATGATACACAAAGTTAGGTCTTTCTAAATTGTGCAGGTTGCTTCCATATAACATTCAGGAGTCTGGTTGGTTAGTAAACATGTGACCACTCACTAGTGATGTGAAATATAATAAATTTCTTTCAGATTTTTGGGGCCTTTTTGCACAAAGACTTTTCTCTGATATTTATCAATAATCGATGGATATAAAGTTAACGGTTGTCCATTTCTATGATCTACTTGATATCAAGCTCGACAGCTTAGTAATAAATAGCAATATGTTTCAGTTGTGAAATAATTACATATCTCGTAATTGATAAAATTGTCACTTCCAACCATAATACAAACCACATTTAAAGTCAGTTGAAGAATAACAATGAACAGAAGATTTATCAAAACATACATATGCTAACACAAATGATAGATAGATAAAAATCATTCTTGCAATAGAGCTGTACAGTCGATACTATTGAAAATATAATTTTCTATTTCATATTAACTTATCTGACTGATTGTAAAATAAGCTGATGTCATGGTGAGATGTCATTCATTCATCTACCTGTCTCTTTGTTCCACATCTCTGAACCAATGTCGTGTCTCTAAAATGATTCACAATAATTCTGGTCCAACATTAGACAGGGGCGGTGTGGTAGCCTGTTGGTTAAAGCATTTGCTTGTCACGCCGAAGACCCGGGTTTGATTCTCCACACGGTGTGTACAATATGTGATATTGCTGGAATATTGCTAAAAGCGGCGTAAAACCAAACTCATTCATTCACTCAACTTTAAACATGCACACAACAACTGTTTCATTATTTTTTTATCAAATGACATATTACTATCATGCATCCTTTTTACAGAGATGGCAACAGGAAAATCTATTTTCAGCTGAAAACTTAAAATTGTGTCATCAAATGGGAGGTTTAAATTGATCAATTTGAAATAAAATCGGCAGAAACTGGTGGATGAGCAGAAAATTGCCATCCCTGTTTTTTATAGTATTACATTTATAAACGACCTATGGAACTCATTTTTGTATGAATAATCCCTGCGTTCGTGTCTTAAATTACACAATCACTTGTCATCATTTCCTTGTGGCGCTGAAGGTGCCGAGAGAGAGATTATAACTCCTATAATCTCCAGCTGGATCCTTGTGTCTATATTCCTGCAGATAACTTTCTTGCTTTATAGTAGATGAGTGAGTTTAGGTTTACGCTGCTTTTAGCAATATTCCAGCAATATCATGGTGGGGGACACAAGAAAGGGCTTCACACAATGTACCCATGTTAGGAATCGAAACCTGGACCTTCTGCGTGACAAGCAAATGCTTTAACCACTAGGGTACCCCACCCTGTATAGTACATGAAGTACAGTTATGGATATGTGATAATTATCGTATATATATGAAATATAACACGAATGTATCATAAAGAGCTGCCATACACCAGAGCATCCTTCTTTTCTCATCACTTGTTTTAAATATTTTTTCTGTTTTATATACCGGTACTACATTCCTCCTAACACTCTAGAGAAACATGTGCCTAAGAAACAGTACATTTTTTAAATGAAAATTTTCACAAACCGCTCAAAGAACTGATCATGCAAATGGATAAATGTTGTATTGTAGAACAGTGCAAAAGTAACAAGTGTTAAATGGTAAATCTGCTGTGGGTATGTTTGGCTAAAAAAAGCCAACATTAAAAGATAGGAGGCCCAAAGCATTTATCCTGTATCTTCTTTCATAAATGTGATTATATGCATGCTAATTATTATTTTATATAAATATTGTAGGTTAAAGTTGTTAATTTTGCATATGAAAGAATAAATGTTTAGATCAGAAACAAACAAATAAATATAAATAGTGAATAATCTGTCTTAATACAAGTTCTTGGCAATCATATGGCACAAAGTCTTGATTGTGCAAAGATACAAAATAAATGATAATATTGCTTTTGTGTAAATTATTCTCATAAAACTCAAACAGGGATACATCCATCCAAACAAACACAATACATTGCAAGTGATTCCATGACATCTGAAGCACTTAATTTGCATTTTTGTCTCCAAACACCATAACGATTACGCCACTCACACTGAAGGAAATATGTTTTCTGATTGGTTGATAATAGACTGGGTGCGGCATGTGTTTCATTATTCCGCTGAACGCTGTCACAGACTCTGTACAGTTGTTTGTAATTTTCTGTGTGTTGATAAAAATATAAGCTGTCTGTAAGGGCATCATTTTTTTTTAGGTGTTTCAAGTAGCTACCAAATTCTGAACATAGGTCGGTCGGTCGAGAAAAACAAATTATAAAGACAAAATTATCTGAACAAGGTTCTTGATTCTCATTTACTGTAGTCCTAATGAAAATTTCTCGTGTTCTTTGGACCTGTTGGCTTGACTGATTAAAAGATAAAAAAATTATATGACGAGGCGGTACGTTTCATGATAAATGGAAAAAAAGGAGATGTTTTTGGTGTGTGTTTTTTTTTTTGGGGGTGGGGTGGGGTGTTAGTCAGCAATAAAATTAGAAGGTCAGGCGATGAGAAACACAGAAACAAAAATGCTGCCCTAAGCTACAACTGTTGCTGTATTTGTTTATAAAAGTTATAAACAATATGCCAACTGTTGTTTTTACGTTCATCAACACAGAGAAGATTGAAGTCAAGTAAATATAGAATGAAACCCTGATGTGATGCAGGTCTCAGACTTTTACACTTTGGAGTAACCCATGAGCATGGTTACAGGGCTGACAAAAACAGAAACAGAACAAGGATGAACTCGAATTCAAAGCCACAATCATAGGGCCCGTAAGTAGGTCATGACACTTCGCGAGACCTAGTGCTTCCGGGGACAAACAACGTTTCATACCTTTTCAAATGGTCTCATGGTTGTCAGTTGACAGTAAAGAACCGATAATACTTGGAGGAATAACGAATTTCCGATCTAACCATCCCCAAATTAACCAACTATTACGACTGTCAACAGCTGTGACAGCCAGACATGGTTGTACACTTGGTCCAGTCTAGTAAAGTCATAATTGGCAGTAGCGCAATTTGGAACTAGAACTGGTTCTTGAATAAATGCTTGTCCCTGGAAATCTCGTACTGGAAGTAAGCTGGGTTTATCTCGCATATCATAAGTTGGCACGCACAAAGGGAGCCGGGAACCAGCTTAGTACCGGATGTAGCACCTCATGAGACTTACAGGGCCTATAGGATGGTGTATCCAAGGGAAGCAACTCTGCATGGCAAATTGCATCACCTTACCCAACTGGGCCAACCTTACACCCCCTACTGTGACAAACGTCAACCATTATAAGGCCACAATACATTAATTATAAGACTTCCATCTCAAAATGTTGAAAATTAGTTGGCAGCAATCTTGTTACTTACGTGCAATGTTTGTAAACTGTTAAAGAGATCATGTGTAAATACATGTCAAATATGACTCCCATGAAGCATACATGTTTGGACACGGAACATGGTGTATCTGTTTTGTCAAAGGAAGGGACCACTGATAGGGAATTTCGTTACTGGGACCTGAGAACAACAAGATGAAGAAGATGAAAATCTGACAATTAATTTATCACTGCCGAATATCTCAACAGACAGTTGCATACGAATATGAGATCAAACCATCTCTCAATAAACCAAAATCAATCCCCATTCAAAATATGATAATTGTCTACAAAACAGAAGAATTATAATAAATATTACAAAATTAGCTCTGACAAAGTTTAACATCTGTTAAAATACTTCAAGGAATGATAAGTGTTGTGTTTGGGCAATGTAAGTTATTTAGTATCAGATCAATTTCTTTCAAAAGCTCCCTGCTAAAACAGCTGCTAATTAAGCCAGTATGTTTTGTGTGTCAAGCTTATTAAAATCAAATCTTTCACTCTGATATTACATCCCTGTGAATGAAGTTTTGTGAACTTTGTAATCAAACAGTCCTGAGGATTCTAAATTCTCAGCTTGAGTAAGAATCTGAATGCACATCCGCATATCTGATTGCCATACCAAAAAATGAACTAAAGCAGACATCCCGGAATGTAAACAATAAAAGCCTCCTCATTATACTGTTGTGGACATTTTATAAGCCCTGATTTCTACACCTGAAAGGTAAAACCATCACAGGAATATTTGTGTTCTCTCTGTTTTCTTTCGTTTTTGTCAGACACAAAATTTCTGAATCAAGGGGTAAAGAAAATATGTTGAATCTTTGCAAAAGATCTGATCTTAACAAGATTGTCCTGCATGTAAGCTTGTGTGTGGATGTTCTACACATCACAGAGGTCAAGGCTTGACCGGCTTGTCTCCAACTCCACCGGCCAACTCGTACACCTTCAGGCCCACTTCATACGCCAGGCTGTCCGCAGATTCCTGCCACAAGTAAAGATATTTAGTATCAGACCAGTGAGCAAAGTGAAAAGACTGAAAACCAAAGCCCCAAAATATCTAAAGGTCTCATTCTTCAGTTATGTTCTAGCCACATGATAAAGGCTGTTTCTAGATTGAGTCTGGTCTAGATAAACCTGTGGTTGATATTGTGAGCAATGTCAGTCCTTGAGGGGTATGTTGATAAGATATCAATAAACAGAATCTCCATGACATGATTGTCTGTTTTCTTGAGATCAACTCTTAACACGGAATCGCCACGATGGTCTGTTTTCTTGAGATTAACTCTTAACACAGAATCACCACTGGGTACTACTGGGTACTAGGATAAAGCACAACTCCGAGGTTATGGTTGGGAAAGTAAGACCTGAGACCGGAGGGCGGGGAGAAGTAAGACAAAGAGCATGTAGCACTCGAGGTCTTTCTTCTCTCCACCCGATGGTCAAGGGCTTACTTTCCCAACCATAACCGAGGAGGAGTGCTTTACTATACATATAAACCGTCAATGATGGATAATTAGATGATCATGTAATGAAGCTACATAAGAATAACTGAAGCGCAAGTAAAATCAATCTCATGACAGTAACTATAAATAGATAATTTAACCCTTGTATCTTTGTCGGCTCGGTGGCCGTGAGGTAGAGCGTCTGCTTTATAACCTGTCAGATGCGGGTCTACTCCTGCTTGGGAAAACATTAACACTTTGAAATTGATCTTTGACGATATTTTTCAATTGATTTCAAACACTCACATATCATCTGAATTAGAATATTGATGTAAATATAGAGTTAGGAAAATAAAACCTGGGAAGAGGTCCTACTTTCAAAAAGTAAAACCTGGAAATAGGTCTTACTTACAAAAAGGAAATCCTGAGAGCAAACAAAAACCTCACATGCGGTTATTCCGGGAAAGGAAGCCAAGCTTAATATATAGTGAGAAGCACCCTTCAGGTTTATATATACTGGTACTTCACTCTGGTACTACATTCTGTGGAACCTATAGGACACCCCAAGAACAAAACTCATAATGATTTTGAAAGAAATGAGAAATGTCACTGACCCGTGTATCTGCCTCTGAATATACTCGCACCACATCCTCTGTTCCCGAGGGCCTGGAAAACAAACAACAACACGGTCAAGAACATTTGTTAAGGAAAACAGGTTTTATCGTTTAGTTCATGCCCTTCATAATGAGTGAGTGAGTTTAGTTTTGCAGGGGCGGATCCAAAGGTGGGATGGGAGGTGCAATATTCCAGCCATATGGTGGCGCTGTAAATAATCGAGGTCTGGACCAGACAAACCAATGATCAACAGCATGAGAATCGATCTGCACAATTGGGATATGATGACATGTGTCAACGAAGTCAGCGAGCCTCACCAGCCATCCCATTAGTTACCTCTTACGACAAGCATGGTTGCTGGAGACCAATTCTAATGCCCTTCTTAGAGATGTGTCGGGTATCAAACGACTGACCTCCCTGTCTTAAGGTAGATGCTCCATCCATGGAGAGGCGGTCCGTCAAATACTGCTGCATTTATTAACACTAACAAGTTCTTACTTTATGTAACTTGTTTTCTGTTGTGACTAAACGCAACACTAGGCACATTTGGGGCAGAATCTATTCTGTGAGACGGGACTGACCTGACAAAGGACCGGCCCTGTTTGTAGCCAGTGACCAGTTGGTCTATGGCAGCCTGGAGGCCTTCTGGAGTGACCACTTTCCTCTCTGCATCGGTTGTGGTGATGGCTGTTCGATCTGACACCTGAGGAGCAGAGGGATCACATTAGGGACCGTTCATAATTTATGGCTTTGGTGTGTGTGTGTGGTGGGGGGTGATGATTTTAAGAGGGGGGGGCAGCAATTTTGTACATAAAAGTATGTTTAAAATTATGCTTAGAAATTATGGGAAGGAGGGCGGGTCATTGATTTTGAACATGACATGCAGGGGGTGTCACTGATTTTGTACATAAATTTTAGGGGGGGTCATTCACATTGTACATGCTTCTCCATAAAAATCATCATCACCGCCCTAGCTATAAATTATGAACGGTCCCTTATGATGATGTGATTATGTATATTTCCTGTCGGAAAATTATTATTATTATTATTATTCAGAGTATTTTAACATTTTCCTTCCATTGTTGGTACAGGTCTCTCTCAGTTCATCTCAAATCTAAAATAGACAAAATTGTTAACACTGCAAGTAAAATCGCTGGTGTCAGATTTGAATGTTTATCATCAATATAAGAGTGGCAAATCGTGAATCAAGCTGTCAAAAGCATATCTGACCGTACTCACTACTTAAATTCAGAATACAACCTCCTCCCTTCAGGCCGCCGCTACAAAGTTCCAATTGTGAAAACTAAGAGAGCCCGTACATCCTTTATTCCAAGTACCATATCTCTCTTAAACAAATGTGAAGATACCTAAATCAAAGAATTTATGTAAATATGTTTGGTATCTCTCTAATGTGTCAGTAGCTCTGCTGATGTAACACAAATTCCTGAAAAGGCATTAAAGTATTATTCTATTCTATTCTAAAATACACCTTTAATGTGGGGCATGCAGACAGTCTTCATAAACTCATACTACTTAAAGCAATCGGAGTGCATTAACATGAAATGGTCAAAATTTATTCCACTGACCTCCAACCCATCTCGTATTGACCTTGAGATGCCAGTTGGGTAGGTCAACAATTTGGATTTGATTTTTCTGTGGGTTGATTGTTTCACTGACCTATGACCTGTTAACCTTGACCTTGAGTTGTCTGATGGACAGGTGTGTCTAAACCATTGCCAGACTCACCTTGACCTTAACATGTCTGTGGGAAAATCATGTCCCTGACCAATGATCTGACTCACTTTGACCTTGAGTTGTCTGATGGACAGATCTTGCTGATTCATGACCCGACTCACCTTGACCTTAAGATGTTTGTGGGAAGATCATGTCCCTGACCTATGACCTGACTCACTTTGACCTTGAGTTGTCTGATGGACAGATCTTGCTGATTCATGACCCGACTCACCTTGACCTTAAGATGTTTGTGGGAAGATCATGTCCCTGACCTATGACCTTACTAACCTTGACCTTCAGTTGTCTGTTGGGCAGATCTGTGTAGCATTTGTCCCAGTCCTCAATACTCCAGCCTCTAGCATACAGTATGGCATCCACAATCAGCATGTCTGATATAGCATCCCCAACAGTCTGCAATGAATTAAATATATTCATGTCAACCTCTACCTCTATGGCAAGGCAAATCTTAAATGAACTGTAACAGTTTCTGACTTGTTATTTCCCATTTTCAGATAGTTCTCAATCCTGGAATACCAAGCAGACAGACTGCTGATGATGGAAGCATGTGTGTCCTAAAGTGTCAGGAAGTGTTCCCGAGTTTCGGGGATAATTTTAAATCCCATTTCTACCAACCCCTGCACTGATGTTGTTGGAATATTTCTAAAAACAGCATAAAACCCAACTCACTCAATCACTTAAAACTAAAGGCTAAAGAAGCTAATGTCTCTGTTGTGAGTGAGTGAGTGAGTGAGTTAGAAATTAACGTCACCTCGGCAATATTTCAGCCATATAGTGACGAGAAATGTTTTACATAAACAATAAATTAAAGTTGCTGAATAATCAGTCATCGAAGGCCTGTAAAATAACTAGAGTATCACAGTTTGAAGTAAAACTAGCGTAGAAAGTTAAAACAAAGAGCACTATTTGGACAATACAATATAAAAAAGTGGCTAGAGATCGCCAACAACTGAAGGGAGATCACCATACTAGGGACCATGGGGACTTACATTACTTTTGCTACCTGCATGGACCCTAGCTGGATTTACACCATCCCTCAGCAGCTGGCGTTGATGCTGACATTAAGCCATACATTAAAAACACAACAATACTATGACTAAAAACCTGGTACACTTAAACTGACTTCAAATGTTTTGGGACTTACATCTCTGTTGTGAGAAACCCACATGTTTGTGTTTATTCTCTATGTACAGACCTGGTTTATGACATCCATTAAAACGGCAAGCCTCTTTGCAGCCATCTTTTGTTCTGCAGTATTACTGAAATACAGACAACACCATGAGACATCACATTCTACCAGCTGTAACCTACAGTTGTGCATCAACAGGAACTTTAGTAAAATAGTTCTTAGTTTGCTTTCTCCTTGTCAAACCCTCATTTAGATATCAGCTGTTGAATCAAACTAATGAAAAAGTTCACATGGGACAAGTGTAGCCTAAGGTCTAAGGCACAAAATCTGTGTGCAGAATTGTGTCAATTAACACACGTGATTCATATGATTCCCAGGTTCATATCTCCATTTCGACCTGGTCAGCAGGTCATTTGGACACTTTCCTACTATATTTGGTCGAAAATCTGCAAATGTTGAAAAGGGAAAGTCCTAGTCCTGAGAAATGAACCTATAATGAAATTTACAAGTTTTTCTCAATTTTAAAATTTGGTCATTCTAGTGGTCTAGGTCTGAACTCTGAACAAAGTGTCATGAATCTGCCTTACCTGTCACTTCCTGCTGCATTTAGAATTTGATCTGTGGCTTTGTCATTGAAGATTACCTGGAAACACAGAACAATGTTATTACTGTGTATTGGAGACACTATATAAACTGGAATCTGTTTAATCTGGATGATGTTTTGGCTATAACAAATTACATTTTTATATTATTTTATTTATTTATTACTTACTATATTTTCATCACTCCCCATCTAACAACCTGCTTCATAATCATTTAAGTAACCAGATTGTGTTTAATGCTTTCATTTGTAGGTAATTGAGTATATCTCATTCCGTATTGCATTCCAAGTTTTGTATTTCGGAGGGGAGATAACTGGACATAAAAGGCATGTGTGGAAAGCATGTTTTAAGATTGAATAGCATTGTTGTCTGTATGGTACATATCCCAGCATTTAAATTAAGAACATTGAGGTGACCAAATGCATACCTCCATTATATTCAAGCTATATGATAGCAGTGTGTAAATAATCAAATCTGTACCAGATAATCCAGTGATATTCACAGCAACACTGCATGCATTCGGGTCACAATGACACAACTAAGTCACCTAGTCTTAGCATCCCATACATATATTCTTTTCACAAACACCATAGACTGAGAATAATTCTCACATGGAATTCTGCTTATTTTTTCCCAAAGTACCCAGAAACAGAAATCTAGCAAACAGATCGTTCTTGTGCACCTCCAAACAGTATAAGGCACAATTACCATGACAACCTAAAGTACAATGATTTCATATCTTACTGTTCCATGGCCGTTAGCTTCAAAGTAGACACCCACGTCAAAGTCCTTTGCTTTGTGGTGGAGATGTTTCACGCCTGTGGGGACACAAGCAACTGGTACAACAACAATCCTATTGCTTTGTGGATGGAGATGTTTAGCTGGACTATATGTGGGTCACATTAGCAACTGGTACTTTCTGTAACAACAATCGATGGGATATATTATGGCGGTCAAATGTGAATATCTAGGAGGGATATATCATATTTTTATCATGGTTATTGTCCTGACATCACACTGGACTATAAGTGTTTCCATGTCCCTTGCTTGTTGACACAAGCCGTGGTTTTTGGAACCACAATCGCAGGATATATTATCATGGTTATAGTTCTGACACTGTACTGGACTTTAAGTGGTCCCAAGAACTTTGCTTGTTGACACGAGCGATGGGGACTTTTTGGAATGACAATTGCGGAATATATCATAGTTCTGACACTGTACTGGACCATAAGTGGTCCCATGTCCCTTGCTTTTTGACACAAGTGACTGGGACTTTCTGGAATGACAATTGCAGGATATAATATCGTAGTTATAATATACGTTTTGACACAAGTGATAATATACGCTGGATCTAATGCCATTCAAAGAGCCCAGATCGAAGTATAAATGCCTTGCTTGTTGATGAAATTATCCTCATCAAACTCTAACCTGGATGTTCTCCCATTCTTTTAGTGACTGAACAATGACTTAAATATCAAATGTTGATAAAACTGACTTGATATTTAAGTAATACTGTAAAGACTTCCTGAGTGGTACAAAGTTGCTTTGCAACATAACTAATTCAAGAGTTCAATTTAAAAATGAATATTTTCCATTTCCTCCAGAAAATCAGACAGTCAGTTCCCTATATCAAGGCTGCATTCTCCATAAGGAGTGGGCAGTGGGGTAGCCTTGTGGATCAAGCATTCCTTCCACCACGTCAAAGACCTGAGTTCGATTCCCCCCAGGATACAATATGTTAAGCCCATTTCTGGTGTTCCCTCTGTAATATTGCTGGAATATTGCTGAGAGAGGTGTAAAACTCAACTCACTCACTCACTCTTCAAAGGAGCATCATAAAACTTACCATTTGTTCTGTGATGTAGTTAGTAGAGCTGCCATTGGCATAAGCTGTCTGTACTAGCCCCAGGTTGAGGGTCAGGCCGCTCTGTGTGACCAGCTCCTGGAGGTAGCCGGCTATCTGTCATGGGAAGAGGAATAATTCATTGTCCGTATGGTATACACTACATGTTACATGACCTTGCTGAAAGCCATATGGTGGCGGTGTGGAGTCTTGTGCATAGAAACCAGGTCACAAATCAGTTGAAACTAGCAACATTGGTCACGGAGAGTCCTTGGATGGTCGAGCATGTTTGGCAGCATGACTTGTGAGAGTTTCAAGGTCTTCTGTCCTGTCCCACAACAAAGAACATGTGGTCTCACCTAAGGCAAGTGAGTGTGTTCAAAATGGCTTCAGTTCACCCAGTAGGTGTCTACATCCAATGCCAATCTCACCCAACAACTGTTTATAACTATCTGACGATTTAAATCTTGTCAAAAAAGGAACCTATATCTACAGTTTCAAACTCTGTGTCAGTCAAATTTGGAAACAAATTATTATTTTGTTAAAAAGTAGAATTTATAAAAGATCTTATATCATTAAATTCACAGGTATGTAAGACTGCATAGATTCCAGTAAAACTAAGCTTTATCTATTTCACAGAGTTTTTAGTGAAAAACAAGAAATCTCCACAATGACAAAGAGTTACATCTGTATCAACATGAGTGAGAACATCCATAATGCCAAACAGATTTACATTTACATTTCCTGTAAGCTTTGAGTGGAATATCAGCCTCTTTGCACTTTTACATAAACTTTAAAGATCACTGTTCTTCTCAGAGATTATTCCACTTACCAAAGCAGCTTGTTTATCTCCATCTAACATGTGAAACTTGCCAGCTGCAAGGCAAAATGTTATACTCTAAAATATATAATTTGCTAATTTGCTCACAAACATAATTAGCAACAACCATGTTCTTTTAAATAAATAAAGACAATGTTGATGACAAATGTACTTATGTGAAATATAACCTCATAACACTGACAATACTTTCTGTACAACTAACCCCATCAGAGTGACAGGTCTTTCATACTGACTGACTGACTGAGTTTAGTTTTACGCCGCTTTTAGCAATATTCCAGCAATATCACGGCGGAGGACACCAGAAATGGGCTTAACACATTGTGCCCATGTGGGGAATCGAACCCGGGTCTTCAGCGTGACGAGCCACTAGGCTACCCCACCGCCCCTCTTTCATAACAACTAGCCAATATAAAAATGATCATGCTTTCCTAACAACTAACTGTATCAAAATGACTACATTCCTAACAACTAACCCTGGTCCTGGAAGAAGTACATGATTCTGTCTGCGTCACCATCAAATGAGATACACTGCCTCCCGGGCTCAAGTGTCATTCCTGGAACACAAGAAAACAGCCTGATTTCAGTTTCTCATAGTTGACCAAGTGACATGAAGCATTATTGTTAGAAGCTTTAGTTTGAGTGTGTGAGTTTTGTTTTACGCCGCACTCTGCAATAGTCCAGGTACATGGTGGCAGTCTGTAAATAATCAAATCTGAACCAGATAATCCAGTGATCAACAGCATGAGCATCAATCTATGCAATTGGGATACGATGACATGTGTCAACCAAGTCAGCGACCCTGACCACCTGATCCCGTTAATCGCCTTTTATGACAAGCATGGGTTGCTGAAGATCAATTCTAACCCTGATTTTCATGGGTTAACAGTACCAGAAGTGTCAAAGATATGTTTCAACACAAGGATAATCCTTGTAAATACTGTTATATCTATTCTTGGCACTACTTGGGATCAGTGTTTAAGGTTCTGCCTTCAGAACACTGACCTTGTGTTATTTTTGGGGTGCTTTAAGCTGGACCATATCATCTGAATGTTACCAAGGGAGAAAACTCAGGGGACATATGACTGCTTAATTACAATGAGAGCAACGTTTGGTGTTGATACTAACATCAGTGTATGAAATAAGGCCCGTCCTACTGCCCGAGACTGTCTAGATTTCTGACAGACGGTCTAAATTTACAGCTAGCCAGCCCGATGGTCTGGTAAATCTTTTTAGATGTTCCATACATCTGAGTAAATTCACCATATTTGGTCTGGTTAAATCCATTTTGGGCTGGTAAAATTTTGAAGTTACCAGCCCTGATGTCTGGCTGGAATTTTGGCTTATTTCATACACAGCTAACATCATTTTCTAGCATGTGATGCATAGAAATGGAAGGAATTCATATACATGTGGATGAACAAGGGAGACAATCCACATAACACTGGCGTTGTGTATGCTTGGAGTGTTCTTCCTTCAACACACTTACTTCTAAATGGTTGGTTGGTTGTTGTTTAATGCCACACTCAGCAATATTCCAGCTATATGGAGGAGGTCTGTAAATAATCGAGTCTGGGCCAGACAATCCAGGGATCAACAGCATGAGCATCAATCTATGCAATTGGGATACAAAGCCATGTGTCAATCAAGTCAGTGAGCCTGACCATCCGATGCCGTTAGTCGCCTCTTATCACAAGCATGGGATGTTGAAGACCAACTCTAACCCGGATCTTACTTGTAAATTCAATGTGCAGAAGTGAACATCATTTGTCAAGAAAACAAGTATTGAGCTAAAAATTTACTTACCTACTGGAGACGTCTGCTGAAGTTTGACAAAATCTGCTCCACACTGAAAAAAAAGTAAGAATAATAATGTCAAAATATGTCGTGTTGCAGGCATACCTCTATCAATATTATGAATTATATCCAAATGTTCTATACGAATATTTAGCATGGAACCAATTCTTACCAAAACATGTCCAGGGTGTCAAGATAAAATTTCAAAAGAAATTATGGCTATGTGATGTGCTGCCTATTGATACATGTCAAATTCATTCTGCACTTTGAATAAATAATAATTCCTCATCAAAATGATAAACACAAATATTCACCTGGAAATTAAGTTTTCCGCTGCTACCATCGTTAAACAGGTTAATCCGGAGAGTGTCGTTCAGATGTTTTAGGATAAGCTGTACTTTCAGAGCACCAACACCATTGGCTGCGTCCAGATAGAGGGTGTCTTGGTATGTTCCTTCCTTCCCTCCCTGAAACCAGACAACATCGGTTGGGTGTCTATCATTCGGTTTCAGCCTAGGAGTCATGATTCACAAATAGCGATACAACCAGCTTCAGCCAAGGAGTCATGATTCACAAATAGCGATTCCACCAGCTTCAGCCAAGGAGTCATGATTCATAAATAGCGATTCAACCAGCTTCAGCCAAGATGTCATGATTCATAAATAGCAATTCTACCAGCTTCAGCCAAGGAGTCACGATTCACAAATAGCGATTCAACCAGCTTCAGCCAAGGAGTCACGATTCACAAATAGCAATTCAGCTTCAGCCAAGATGTCAAGCAAAATAGTCAGTCTCACCATTTCAAATAGAACTTGATGAATGCTGATTCTGAAAGTTTCTCGTAATAACCATCTTCTGTTGGGGTTCCATACTTGCCCTGGGTGTTCTTGCAGCACACGATGTAGTGGAGCTGGGGGGTGGACAGCAGGCCTGAAGAACATACACAGGGGATCAGGGGTCATACAGTTGAACAGGGAGGGGAGAGGGGGAGAGGGGGAGAAGGGGAGGGTGTTAGCAGCCCCTGAAGCACATACACAGGGGTCAGGGTCATACAGTTGAACAGGGAGGGGGGAGAAGGGGAGGGTGTTAGCAGCCCCTGAAGCACTTACACAGGGGTCAGGGTCATACAGTTGAGCAGGGAGGCGGGGGAGAAGAGGGGGTGGGGTGGACAGCAGGCCTGAAAAACATACACAGGGGGTCAGGGGTCATACAGTTGAGCAGGGAGGGGGGAGAAGAGGGGGTGAGGTGGTCAGTAGCCCTGAATAGTGAGTGAGTATAGTTTTACGCCACTTAAAGAAATACTCCAGTGATATCACAGCGAGGTACACACAGAAATAAAGCTCAAGTCTCAGACATTTTGAATGTAAAAAAGTCTATTAGTATTTTCAGATTCAAATATGTTTTGCCTCAGTAAGTTATCACACTGGTGTCAAAGAATAGTAACTTCCTTACATGATTTTGTGAATTTGTAATAAAAAGCACCTCTACAGGACTTTTCATGTGAAACTTACCAAAATCCTGGAACTTTCCATCCAGTGCTTGGATCCCCTCCATCAAGGCGTGAGCCAGGGAGGCACTACTTGGCCTGAAAACAAGAATTAAGGAACTTTAGTATTGGTGCTTGTCAAGCCCATGTGAATGCAATACACAAAAAACAACTTCCATGACCAAAGTCACAGATTTCTCTAGACTTACTGATAGGCCTTTATTTGGTTCCAAGTCTGCAGCAAATGTCAGTAAACATTCCCAAACATGAAAAATAAATTCCCATTCACATCCATATTGTGAATACTAATGTTACGTCTTTATAGAAATATAACTTTGTATACTGATAACCAAAACAGATGGAGACACTACAGTAAGTTTGACATTACTTCATCAGGCGTGTTGAATACCATGTTCTAAGGCCTTCGATTAAGAAAAAAACAGCTTAATAATAATCCCAATTTTGAACCAAATCAAAAATAATATCCAGTATGCCAATGGCCCTTACTTTGGAATCCAAGGTAAATTTGTGGCTGTTCTACAAGGCCTTGTACATTGGTCGTAAGAAATATTTAGTGTGTTTGTGTGCAACTAGGGCTGCGCAATGTAACCGGTTCAGACATGAAATCGATATGCATTGCCAGAAACCGTATATGGTCCCTGGTATTGCGATACGCTGATCGAAAACCACTATTTCAACATGCATTCAGAAAACTTCGTACCACTCGGAAATCTTCGGATATTTCCGTTTTTCACACCAGAAGTCAAGTTACGTTTGGTTTGAAGTTGTGTTCTTACTTTTTGTTCAAGCGTTTTGCAATGTTTTGGATAAGAATGATTTCAATATTAACTCATTAATGACCAGTGATCTCTGTGTTAATGTTAAATTGTTTTTTTCCTTGTTTCATTTGTGCCAAATATTATATATTTTGTCATGATTAAATTTTTTATTAAAGCTTATTAAAAATTAAGCATAGTGATTTTGCTATGTTTTTGCTTTATAAATCAAGCATTAACTAATTAATTATAAGTAGTTTTTTGTTAAAAAGAAATTCTTGCAATATATTGCAATACATATCGCAATATATGCTTTCGCATCGCAATATATGAAAATTCTCTGCAATACCCACCCCTAGTGCCAACCCAGCAGATACAGAGAGAGGAGGATGTTACTCACATGGTTCAGCAAATGAAAACATGCAAATTGGAATTCACCTGAAACAACTTATTAGCAGAATCGTTACCATATATTACCATCTATAAGACGACCCCATGGATAAGACGACCCCCAAACTTGACCCTTAAAATCAGTGTCAAAATGGTGTGTTTCGTGCATAAGTCGATCTCCCGCGATGGGGTCCTAATCGCGGCAAACACAGACCACAGACAACTAGCAGTTATCAATAATTATAACTTTGGTCCACATTATTCAAAGAATTCACAATCATATATATTGCATCTACTCACGGATCAAAACGAAGTGTAGTTGACAGAAAATGCATAATATATTTTGTTTCTCTAAATATCATATTTATTGTAGCAACAAACTGGTTTGCTTATTTTACCCCATTCAACAATCACGAACTGATTACCGCCTCGTTTTCCATTGACTGCTAGTTTACAGTAACATCGGTAAAAATGTGTGAATTTAAATGGCTTACGTTTTTACCCCATTCCATGTGCGTACAACTTCTGCTTACCACGTCCATGAGGGTCTGTATAACCTTAGTGTTGATTATATATATTTTACAGAAAAACTGTAAATAAAATTACACAATGCTAGGATATATTTCTTTGGGTTAAATAATAGTATTCTGTATTATATTTTACTGATGACTGCGTCAGAATTCGTCCCGTTATATTATTGTGCATGTTTGAACTTGTTCACTGCTGATTGCTATTTCCGGCTCAGATACACACAGTAATCTTAATCCCTGCAAATAATACAATGCCCAACAAAAACAACTTAGAACTTAAAAGGTAAATAATCTTGTCTAGTGATGTTTAACTGCAAATTTGACGTCTCTACTGACAAAGTCGTCTTCAGTTGTTTGTTCACGCGAAGTGATACGATGTTGTTTTCTTACCCAAGGAAAAAAGTTTGTCGAAAGCTTAACCCATGGATAAGACGACCCTCTTCTACAGACTGCTTTTTGGGGTCCTCAAAATTTGGCTTATAGACGGTAATATACGGTACATTATATTTTGACTACCACAAGAAAGATGCGTAGCTCACCTGGTGTCTCTAGCATAAGATACGTGTGCTTCAACTGACATGTCAATCTTCTCGGAGGCAATGATCTTCTCCAAGATCTCTGAGATCTTCTCATCACTGGAACATCAGATAGTTGCTGTTCATATCAACTGAACAACAGTGGTATTTATGGGAACACAACACTTCAGGTTATATTTCACATGAAATGATATTTTACTGATTTTAGAAATTTGCATACACACTGTTTACACTTCACACCATGACACTTGCCATGTTTGGCATTATGGCTAACCACCAAATGCCCTACCTAGAATACGTGTGGTGTGTACACTAACCTGAAATAGTTGTTAGTGTGTACACTAGGTATGGCTGTGGATGTTAGTCTGTAGACTACGTGGAGCTGTGAAAGTCTGTAGACGAGGTAGGAGGTTAGTCTGCTGGATGTTAGTCTGTAGACTACGTGGAGCTGTGAAAGTCTGTAGACGAGGTAGGAGGTTAGTCTGCTGGATGTTAGGTCTGTACACTAGATAGGAGGTTAGTCTGCTGGATGTTAGTATGTAGACTATTTGGAGCTGTGAAAGTCTGTAGACTAGATAGGAGGTTAGTCTGCTGGATGTTAGTCTGCTGGATGTTAGTCTGTAGACTACGTGGAGCTGTGAAAGTCTGTGGATGTTAGCGAGGTAGGAGGGTAGGAGGTTAGTCTGCTGGATGTTAGTCTGTAGACTACGTGGAGCTGTGAAAGTCTGTAGACGTGGAGCTGTGAGAAGTCTGTAGGCTACGAGGTAGGAGGGAGGTTAGTCTGCTGGATGTTAGTCTGTAGACTACGTGGAGCTGTGAGCTCTGTAAGTCTGTAGGCAGGTAGGAGGAGACTTAGTCTGCTGGATGTTAGTCTGTAGACTTCACGTGGAGCTGTGAAAGTCTGTAGAAGGCGAGGTAGGAGGTTAGTCTGCTGGATGTTAGTCTGTAGACTACGTGAGCTGTGACTGTGACTGTGGAGCTACGTGGAGCTGTGAAAGTCTGTAGACGAGGTAGGAGGTTAGTCTGCTGGATGTTAGTCTGTAGACTACGTGGAGCTGTGAAAGTCTGTAGACGAGGTAGGAGGTTAGTCTGCTGGATGTTAGTCTGTAGACTACATGGAGCTGTGAAAGTCTGTAGACTAGGTAGGAGGTTAGTCTGCTGGATGTTAGTCTGTAGACTACGTGGAGCTGTGAAAGTCTGTAGACGAGGTAGGAGGTTAGTCTGCTGGATGTTAGTCTGTAGACTACGTGGAGCTGTGAAAGTCTCTAGACGGTAGGAGGTTAGTCTGCTGGAGCCTGTGAAAGAGTCCTGTGAGACGAGGTAGGAGGTTAGTCTGCTGGATGTTAGTCTGTAGACTCACGAGGAGCTGTGAAAGTCTGTAGACTAGATAGGAGGTTAGTCTGCTGGATGTTAGTCTGTGGAGACTACGTGGAGCTGTGAGTCTGTAGAAAGTCTGCTGGATGTTAGTCTGTATCTGTCTGTAGACTAGTGGATGTTAGTCTGTGGAGCTGTGATGTTAATGTTAATCTGTAGACTCACGTGGAGCTGTGAAAGCCTGTAGATAAGGTAGGAGGTTAGTCTGCTGGATGTTAGTCTGTAGACTACGTGGAGCTGTGAAAGTCTGTAGACGAGGTAGGAGGTTAGTCTGCTGGATGTTAGTCTGTTGACTAAGTAGGGCTGCTGGATGTTTGTTGAACAGACAGGGCTGTTGGGGTTAGTCTGAAGGAGTTTAGTCTGAAGACAAGGTAGGGCTGTTGGAGTTTAGTCTGAACACTAGGCAGGGCAGTTGGAGTTTAGTCTGTAAACAAGGTAGGTCTGTTGTGGATACTCTGTAGACAGGGTAGGTCTGTTGGAGGTTAGTCTGAAGACTAGGTACCTTACCTTTAGCCAATATTCTAGTTGATAAAAAACCTGCCCACATTCTAGTCTCTAAGTGCCCTACCGTACCTTCAAGTAAGTTGCCAACATCCAAGGTAGCTCACCTGACATTGGCCAGCTCGGTGCTGTACACCTCCCACTCTCTTGGCATCATCTCTCCCATGGTGTCGATCATCTTGACGCCGTTGTCCTCCTCGGGGTTGTGAGACGCGGTGATCATCATACCAATGGTGGCTGAAAGACATTACTGACAGACTTCAGTACAGGTTCATATAGGGAGTAAAATCTACAGAATGCTAGCACAGGGACAAATCAGTCATTGTCAGTGCTTCTTGGGGTTGTCATCATATGTTCCTGGATCACCATTTAATATAATAACTATGACAAAGTACTGTGACTATGTGTCCCAGTCCACCCAGCTATGAATGGGTACCTCGTAAGAATGGGAAAGCCACACTAACTCAATGCGCCTAGTGGCTGCAAAAGTTGTATGATCCCCAGGGAGTTGAGATTGATAATACGACATGCCGTTGAGATTGACATCCAGTGATCGAGGGAAAAACAAGGCGCCTTTGAGCAGCTGAGCTGGATATCCGCGCTATACATATGTATGCACGTGCGTGCGTGCATGCATGCATGTATATATGTATGTATATATGTGTGTATATATGGCCACTTCCAAGTGAGGGTGTTGTGTTTGTTTGTTTGTTTAACGCCACACTCAGATAGATTCCAGGTATATTGCAGCGGTCTGTAAATAATCAAGTCTGGACCAGACAATCTGTTGATCAACATCATGAGCATCAATCTACAAAATTGGGATACAATGACATGTGTCAACCAAGACAGCGAGACTGACCATCCAATCACAAAATAGGAAAAAATTAAAAAAGGGAGAGTGAACCATGAGAGTATTGCTTTACACCTCTTTTAGAAATATTCCAGCAACATCATCGAGGTGGACACCACTTGAATGGTTACTCTACCGGCCCAGAATTACTATACGTCCATAGGCTTATCATTCAGGACAGCCTTGGAGTAAGGCAAGGTTTTACGCCTCCATTTCAGCAACATCACTGAGGTGGATACCAGAAATGGGCTTCACACATTGTTCCTATGTGGGGAATAGAATCTGGGAGTGAGTGAGCTTAGTTTTATGCCGCACTCAGCAATATTCCAGCTATATGGGGGCGGTCTGTAAATAATCGAGTCTGGTCCAGACAATCCAGTGATCAATAGCATGAGCATCGATCTGCGAAATTGGGAACCAATGACATGTGACAACCAAGCCAGCGAGCCTGACCACCCGATCCCGTTAGTCGCCTTTTACGACAAGCATGGGTTACTGAAGATCAATATTCTAACTCGGACCTTCACGGGTTCGAATCTGGGACTTCATGATGATGAGCGAACACTTTACCACTAGACTAAACCCAGCACCCAAGAAAAGAGAAACAATTATTATATAATAAGGATACAAGGTATATATGTAACAAAATGTTAAATTCTGTGTTCTCTGTACTATATCTGGTGTACTTCACAATATCGTTAAAATATACACACTGTCGCCATGCTGTATTACATTAAGCTGCTGGAATATGCTGGGTATATATGATGTGAAACAAACAAACAAACAAACTTCAACTTATGTGTGCCCTATATGGAAAAAGTTTTCTATGCTCTGAAAATGTACCATGGGGCAGAGGGCTCTCTACACTATAACATAGTAAACTGACACAAAAGGCAAAGTTGATAGCAGAACACTATTGTAAACAAAACTACTGCATTACAGTTAGATATGGGTAGGTTTGCATAAAGTTTATAATGGTATACGACCATTAGCAGACCAAATTTACAGCTATACAATATTTCAACCACATTTAGTGTTGAGCACCGGAAGTTTGGGTAAATACAAACCAATGAAGAGTTCATGCTGCAGTTTCAGTCTAGTAGACACAAAACATTTTGGCATAGACTGGCACAGATACATTGAAAAGATAACTAAAGTGAGTGTGTCAGTGAGGTGAGGTGAAATTGGGTTTAACGTCGTGCTTGAGAATATTTCGCTCATATGACGACGTGCATGCGTGTGTATGTGTATGTGCGGCTGCTTGTACTAGCCCAGGCTGAAGCTGGTGTTATAGTGCTAGCCCACTGAGATACCATGCCGCAGTGAAGCATGAATACCCCACTCAGACACATTATACTGACTCCGAGCCGACCAGTCCTTGATGTACCCATTAATGCCGAGCGCCAGGCAGGGACCAACAAGTACCATATTCAAACGTCTTTAGGTATGAAGCGGTCGAGGATCGAACCCGCGACCTTCCGCTCTCCAGGCGGACGCTCTAACCACTACACCACGGAGGCGGTCGAGTGTGTGAGTGAGTTTTGTTTATGCCGCTTTTAGCAATATTTCAGATATATCACGGCGGGAACCAAGAAAAGGGCGTCATACATTGTTCCCACATTGGGGAATCGAACCCAGGTCTTCGGAGTGATGAGCAAACACTTAATCACTAGGCTACCCAACCAACCCAGACAACTAAAGGCTTGCTGAGTGGCAGATTACATAATTTCCAAACAACGGTTGCCAGTAGAAAATTATCTGTTTTCCTTGGCAGAAGGCAGTTCTAAGTTCTGAAACTTCAAGATGAGCACTGGAACCAGTCATGTGTTATCATTGTACCACACCAACTTGCTGGAAATGTGCTGTGTTTTTCCTTTGAGTGAAGGTTTGAATGTGTTGTTTAAAAGTGGTAAATAGATAAAGTAAATATATTAAGTCTGAGTAGACTAATCCTTAGTCTCTGAATATATATAATTTTGATAAACAAACAAATTCATTTTATATTGATAAAGAACCTCAGTGAGAAGGGAAATTCAATCCTGGGGAAATCTAGACCTGCTTCACGTAGGCCTTTAGCATTTCAAGTAGGGCTAGGCAGTAGGGTAAATAATGTGGTTCATGGACTGTGAGACAGACTAAAGTCCTGGCTATGTCCTTTGTCATTGACATTTGAAATCAACCATTTGATTGAGTTTGACCACCAGATTCAGTTTATTCTTCTCTTTCAATCAGCAGTGGAGTATTCAAACCAATTCTAAACCGGGCCTATAAATGACATGATTCTTTAAAGCCATTGGTCACACTGTTTTAGAGAGTTTAGTTATGATGCAAAGTAAACGCTGGAGTATTAACCTTAAACACTTATATAAAACAAATACCTTTTCTTGCCTTTGAAGCCAACACTGCCAACAACCCCATTCTGAAGATGACATGGTCCAGATCTTCGGCCCTAAAAACAAAGCAATCAGTTTTTAACTTTTTCAACAACAAAAAATATATTTATTATACAAATCTGCCTTAATTAGACAAAATACAAGCTACAACATGTGGGAAAGCAGTTATGTAGACATTTTTACTGATTGTATTTGCATGATTTATAAACTTGATCATTCAAATTTAAGTCAAAGGTAATGTCACAAATTTAAGACCAAAGCAAATTAGGATTTGAAGAGAAATCAATTTATTATGTAATAAAAAAATTTCAGTTACATTTTATACCTGTAATAATTTCTAAATGTTGGGATTTAGTCAATATTTTTATAGAACTTTCACTTCATATAACAGAATCTGTTTCCTTCAAATTTAAAATGCAAAAAGAAAAACACTAGTAATTTATATGATTGTTTTATAATCACAAGTTTTATTGACATAACTACAAAATGACCAGAATCTTTACAAATGGCTTTGATTTGATCTGACATGTGTGACCTTCTCCCCAGAGCTTAAAATCTTATCTTGACATGTGCTTCCATGTCAACTAGCGAGAGGTTCTAACCTGATTTAGCAAACATTACACAGCCCATGTAAATAAAAGCCGGACATCACCCCATGGCTTTCAAGTGCAGTTACACCTCTAGACAAGATGTTATTGATCTTTGAGCTCATGTTGGTAGTGCTACTCTGGGCAACTTATTCTACATCCAAGATTTCTCAAATTGTTTTATCAGAATCCCCTTCAATGGCATTGAACTCATCTTTTCTGACAAAATGAGTTCTGTTTTTCTAATATTTTCAAATCAAAACAAAAATATATCATTTATTTTCAGTGATATTTTTTCAAACAACAGTTTTATTAAATCTTGGTTATAACAAACAGTAATACCATCAGACCATGCAAAATGTAAAAGTCCCAAATGATTAATAAAGTCAAAATTATGTTGAACTAACTTAAAGAAGATAGATATTTGATATATAGAGAAATAAAACACATCCTTAAATTCTTTTGATAATATTAAACATATTTATGATTATAAAAGTAATGTTATTATTGAATAATGAAAAAAGTCAAACATTAATTAACATTTCCACACATATTTGTATATGTAATGATGTTTAAGAAAGAAAGAGCAAAAATATTCGTTTATAGGTAGTCCTGACAAAGTATTAATACACCACAAGGAATTCTACAAGCCTCTTCAAAGGATACCAAACTCCAAAAAGGTTTGATCTTAATACCCTTTTAAAGTGACACCTCTAAATGAACTTTAAAACACAAGTGTCATTATTTGACAAATTTAATTAAATATAGAGACGACAGATTTGCGCAAGGACATAGAAAATTAGTCTCGTGGAAAATAGCATTTTTTAAAACCTGAAGAATCTTGTAGCCGGTAATCTCTTCCTCGTTATACGCTAAATTCAACGAGGTTACAGATTGTCAGTGTCTAAAGTAATATATGATAGTCTTACTTTGTCCTAAATCCAGCCGTCCCATACTGAAGAAACTTATCTTGTTTTCGTGGATGTTTGTCACGCCCAACTCCACTCGCTTTCTGAGTTAAGGATGCCATCACTGCAAACGTATAAGGGAGATAACTCTGTCTAAACAGAAATCATTAACCCATGCCACGACAGCATTTGACAGGTGTGGAGGGGGCGTAAAATCTACTCAGCAGAATAGACCTGTTGTCTGTCAACATAACTTTTGGGACCCGTATTTTTTCGAAATTTAATTCACCAGATAATGTTCATGTGTATAGTGAAAGACGTTATCCCATGATTAAACAAGAAAAATCACTTTTTGAGTTTGTCATCTGAAATAAGATAGCTTTCCTTCATTGTTATCTCGTTCCTATCATGGGGGGTAACAGCGGATGGTTGAATGTCTGTCAACATTGACAGCATGTGCGTCAAACATGTTTCTGCATACATCACTATGGTAGTCTGTCATACAGACCCTGAAACAAATTTATCAAAGAAAGCCCATGCAGGTATAGAATATGTGGCAAGTCTAGATTTCCAGTTTCAGGTCAGTTAATGGGTGATAAGAATCCTTGCATGTGTTGTGAAATTCCAAGAAATTATCGCTCTGCAAGTTTGTTTATTCTCTGAAAATGAAGAAAGTCTCTGGGCTCCTTTTCATTATATTTTATGATTATGATTTAGGAACTGTTTTTTTTCTGTACAATATGTTCATTTCAGAGACTAGATATTAGTTATTGTCTAACCACCATAGGTCACGCCAACTTTGCTGGTCGGTGTCAACTGGTGAGCGCAAGTGTGTGTGTGTGTGTGTGTGTGTGTGTGTGTGCGTGCGTGCGTGCGTGCGTTCTCAAATAGAGAATCGACACTGTGAACATCCGGAACGATGTCGATGATCTCTTTTCATTATATGCGCGGTTAGACAACATTTTGGCCCACGTGGGTGGATTATTCAGTTTATCTCACAAGGCATCATACGGAACTCGCAAAAATCCTCGAATTATAAATATTTCAGAAGCTCCGTTATTGACATAGAGTTCTTTCGAGACAGGCGTGGTGTTGTATTTAGCATGTATCTGATCTTTATTTAGCGCTTACGAAACTCAAACTATATCCATGGGTGATCCCATTTGCTACTTCGTATTTAAAAAATAAAACTGCTCACAGAATTCCAACTCGATTCTATAATATCCTGAAATTTAATTTGAATCATTTCGACTAAGGTGTTTTTAAAACTGCAACTGGAATCCGAACGGAAAACATTTCCGCCAGCCCTACCACTGTCGAACTGAGAGCAGGGTTCATGTCCAAGTGTCCCGTATTTTTGTACTGCCGTGACATGGAAGGACCACCAACGCCCCACACACCCGTGTTGCCCTTCCACACAAACACACGCGCGCACGCACACAGACACACACCCCAAGGATAGGGAAAATAATGTTGTTCAGGTCACGAGACTCTGAGACAGACTACTCTGCAGTATTGACACCTGAAGAAGAACGAGACTAAAACATGGATTTTACACTTTAGAAACAACGCTAATGTAATGACAGGATTTGCTGATGATCGCCGATATGAACTGACTTTCGATGTTTATTTCATACGAAGCTACACCATCGAAACATAGGATCGACGTTTATTGTCAAACGGAAGTGTGCCATGGTAATGAATGCTGTGACCGGATTTTCAGAAATATGCTTGCACGTTTATGTAAAGAAACGTCTCTAACACCATACCGGGGAATATATTATTCTGCATTCTTCTGCATTCATCAAATTTCATCAGCTCGTCACCTGTCAGTGAAAAGACGCTTCCACGAACCACGATACGACAAATACAACGCCTAAGCAGCAAAAGTGATTTTATTCTTACGCCGCTTTTTGCAATATCCCAACAGTATCACGGCGGGGGACACCAGAATGGACTTCACACGTTGTACCCATGTGGAGAATCGAACCCTGGCTTTCAGCGTGACGAGGGAACGCTTTAACCAATTGGCTACCCCACCGCCCAAAGGCACAAGAACGAAATCTAGGGGAGCCAAACTAGGTTGAAATATTACAAAACTCTGCACCCTCTCTCGCAGAAAAACTGTATCAGGCCCAGCGGATGGACATTTCTATTTTGCTCTCGTCGTATGTAAACAAGACTATATCGATTATGACGTCACAATTAGATGACGTCATTACCATGTGATCTGTCTATGACGTCACAACAAATACTCCGTCACTACGACTTTGTCGCCCCTGTGATCAAGACGTGTTCTTGTTGATGACAGTGTATACTGTATATATGTACATGATGGCTGAAGAGAGTCTACGCAGCCCTACGTTAGTGTATGTCCTTGTCAACAAGGGAGTCAAGGTAAGAACCTGAGTGAGAGAGTAAGGTTTTACGCTGCCTCACCAGTTTTCCATCCACGTGGGGCTAACATAAAAAGAAATTCATGAGCTTCACGCAATGTACTCAGATTTGAACCCGAGCATTCGCCGTGGCAATGGAGCGTCTTAGCTATGTGGCTTCCCACCCGCTCCGAACAAAAGTAGTTACTCCGACAAAAACAATAGTTTGCTGCCAATTGATCCAAGATTTGCATTTTAGTTTCTCTGCTAGTTGTATCATCTACCAGTTTCAGTGTATTTAATAGACCGAGATCTCACGCAAGTACGCAGAAAATCACTTGTAAAATATGTTTCAATCCAATCGTGTAAGTGTAATTTGTTTTGTCTGATACAACGATAATATGTGTAATATGAAACAGAACAAAATGGTATTAATAATGTTTGCATCTAATATATTATTGTGTTTTATGATCATCGTGTGTGCTAGCATATCAGCTGGAAACAAGACATACATTCACAGGCACATTTGGATTTTGGATTTCAAACAGCAAGCAAAGCAAGTGTACCGCGAAGTATTGCAAGTGCACTATCAGTTTTAACGAATGACGGTGTCCGTTTCCTCTTATTTATGCCAATCATCAAGCGTTTCATGTACATACTTTTAATATGCTAGTCTTAATTTACTTTCGTTTCCATTCACGTCTTTTCAAAATTCATTTCAACGCTCAAGGAATCAAATTGAAGATTTGTCCATCTTTGTAGGCAATGCGTTCCGGGCTCAACAACATCGCGGACAACAACGAGCGATTCCGCCTTCCACCTGAATGTCGAGCATCAATAACACTACATCAAATCAGGTACAGCTTGTTACGTTCAAGGCCAAAGGTCCAAATTTAGGAAACAATGTAGGCCTATTAAGGTTAGGTCGAGTGATGGATATACATGTACAAACTGGAAATCTCATTTAATAGGGTCTCACTTCTCAACATTAATTGAATGTACACACTACAGATAACTGAACCTCACAACTGCAAACTACACTGTTAACAGTTTTATTATTCATTTTATTGCCAGGAACATGGAACGGTCAAAGAATGCCAGCTCTCACTTCCTGAGCGGCACCTGGTGCAAAGAAGCAGCTTTGAGCGACTTCCAGAAAGGGAGAAAACTGACGCCACTCTTCATGTGGTACAAGAACCGACTCCTGCCATTTGGGAGCAACTATCCAGATAGATATTTTCAAGAAACCAAGAGGTCGGTTGATGTTAAATTAAATAGGAGCACACCGCAAGCAAGCCCAGTCATGTCAACAGCTGAGACTGAAATGTGTCCTGTTGATTCAGATGTTACAGAAATTCCACCTGACATTGTTGAATCAGAGGAAAGACTGAAAATGTCAGCAGAAAGTAACTATCCATTGGGGTATAACAAAGAAATCCAGAGAAGCTCGGCTGATAACGAACTGAACAGGAGCACACCACAAGCAATCTCAGTCTTGCCAACGACAGCTGAGGATACAATCTTCCCTGGAGGTTCTGATGTTACAGAAATTCCACCTGAAATTGTTGCCCCAGAGGAAAGGTTCCAGATGCCTGTAGAAAGCTCCCCACCAACACCGTCGGTAATTACTCCATCCCTGCATCTTGAAACCGTGGTTGGAACCAGGAAGAGGCGACCGAGAACACGTGGCACCCATCTTAACACGGACAAGAAGATGTGGATGTCCAAAAAGCCTCGGAATGATGAGGTGATTGAGATGACAGGTGATGGATGCTCGTCTGGCCAGTTAGCCGTTCCCAAGCCATCACCGTCAACTGGGAATGTAGAGACAAGCGTACCAAAACCAGCAGGCGATCTCATGACACAGGCCTTTGGTTATGACCCATCAGTCAATGCATTTTGCAACATCAGCACCCAGGATCGTCGTCTTGATGACGTGCAGTTGCCTGTACTTGGGAGGCAGCAAGTCAAATTTAAGATGGTCGACGCAGAGGAATATTCCGTCCATGGTCGAGGCGCCTCTGCAACCTTTTTTCATGCTACTGTGGATGACACAGCTGTCCTTGTCAAGGATGGAACTGACTTTAGCCGATCTGTAGCTGAGGTGATGACGGAGGGTAAAATAATATCGTCACTCTCTGACACATGTGTCACGCCACAGCTGTTGGGGGTTCTGGAGCAGGGCTTCCTGGAGAGGGAATACAGTCTTGTCCTGGAGGACTGCACGGGGTTTATCTCGCTCCAGGACCTTCTTCAGTCGGGGTACTTTGTGTCCAGGTCTGGTTGGACAAACATCTGCCTGACCCTGTCTAGCCACCTGAAGACACTCCACAGCCGGCGTGTCCTTCACAACAACATCTCCTCCGGCAACATTATCATCAACAAGGACACGCTGGAGGTGAAACTGGTCGGCTTCGGCCAGGCGTCCTTCGGGAGGGGAGTCAAACTGCCCAGCACAACCCGCCATCATTCTGGACTTGCTCCAGAGGTGAGGCTGGGTTGTGTCACCTCCCCACAGGCAGATGTTTATGCCTTAGGCTGTGTCCTGGAGGAGATCAAAGTGGCTAGTAATCTAATGGAGCTCCATGATGTGGTTCAAATGTGCCACCAGGGTCTCCCCAGAAACAGACCTGAGGCACTGGAGATCCATGATCTCATGCATACCACATTTCATGTACGTTAATGTTAGATCACGTTGTGTATTTTGAAATGTCTCATTACTGATCCTTACGGCGAGTAGAAGAAGCAATCGTAATTATTTTCTGTTTTTCAATACTTCAGTAATGTAAATGTACATGTAATTGTGTTTTTAACATAGTTTATGCCATCTATTTGTCAGCTATGTAAAGCGATTTTTTAAAAGAATATTGTTAATGATATGAATTTCATAAAAAACATAGTTCTTATAATTCTTGTACTTGTATAAAATGAGGGGTTTAGTGTTTTAAAAAATTCTGAATGAATACAAACAATTTTATCTCATTTTCGTGTTATTTAGTCATGTCTGCATATATTAAATCGTCAAAAAAAATTATGTGAAAATATGGATATCTATCTAAAAATGTTACATTTGTATGTTTTGCCATAATATATTGCATATATTCATAAACATATTTTTGGATTGTGTTCTACGGAACGTTCGTCAATATACAGCGATGATCTTTCAGTATATTATAAAATTTATACATTGGTTGGATGTTTTCCATGTAGATCCATTTTTTCTCGTCGCTGTTGGAATACATACTGTCTTGACGCAACCTTCGTCGACACTTTCATGTTGAGGTGTGGAAAGCGGACGTAAAATAATCTTAAATTACGTTTGTCTCCCTTGTCATCTTCAAACCAGATTCGCATCCTGTCTCGCGGATAACGCATTCCTTCCGTATCCAGGCACATACTGTATGTGTATTGTGTACAGATAAGGATTATGACTTATATCCGTGTGACATATTATAGATTTCTTTTTGTAAAAATGCCCAAATGCATAAACATATTTAGTGTTGATTGAGTGCAGATCTCAAATCATCTGGAATTCTTATACAGTATGTTACTATGCCTATGCTCTTTGTTTAATTTGCGGTCATTTACTGATATGTGGCTCGATGTCAAATGGTTTTACACACCGATATCAACAACATATACCGCCCATCAAAAGTTTAGACTCACTTAAAGCACTCACTATATGTTATGTATATAATATGAGGTTACGTCAAAGATGAATTTCTCCACTAAGTTGGGGGAACCAACTGCAAACTTTACGCAGATGAATTGCACGAGGATCTTGCATCAAATTGCTGAATAACATGTGCAAATATCGTGCATGTGAACAGCTGCGTTTTGGTGAAAAGGTTTGTTAAGAATTCACCAATTTTCACCGAGTTTCATCATCTTTTCACGATTGCGTTTTACAAAACATCAGTTCATGTGTAAACAGTACCTTTATACAGTATGGAATATTTTGCAAAATCTAGCTTAGAACAGTTGACTGAAGTAAGTGGCTACATTTACACTAGTGAGTCTAAACTTTTGGTGGGTAGTATAGATCTCGAGCTTTGACAAATGTCCAAGAATACGAGTGGCGTTACGTTCAGTGAATATACTATTTGAAGCATGAGAGATTGTTGAAAGTTCAGTCAAATAACTGGTGCAGTAACAAATCATACTAAAAGATAATAGATTTCGCGTTCTGTGCTTCCGTGTAAGAATACCACTTAAATATAATTGTGTTTGTCAAAAAATACAAAAAATACATTTTATTTCTCGCCTGTTATTTGTCCGCTGTACAAAGTGACTCTTTTAATGTGGTAGATTAATGATATTCTTTCATAAAAATATTTTTCTGGTTTTTTTTATACATGTGTACAATAGAAAAAGTTTTTGAATGAAAAAAATCCAAATGTTGCTGTGTGCAAAACTACTTAAAATGTTCTTGTGTGTTTAAACATAATATATTTAAAATATTCATTTAAAAACTTTGGTTTGCTTGATTGGTTGTATTTTATAGATGTCCTATCCTGATGTTAATACGTGAATAAAGTTATTTTTAAGTTTGACTTTTTAATTGTTTTCATTATTTGATTACTGGGACGATGGGGGTAGGCTAATGTTTAAAGCGTTCGCTCGTCGCACTGAAGACCCGGGTTCGATTGTCCACATGGGTACAATGTGTGAAGCCCATTTCTGGTGTCCTCCGCCGTGATATTGCTGGAATATTGCTAAATGCGGCGTAAAACTATACTCACTCACTATTCGGGTACTACATATACTTTGTTGAGTTGCATTTGATTCTTTCCAACCAGAATCGTTTATGTTTTACTGGTTTTATATTTCAGTGATCGACTGCATTCATACCTAGATCGTCATATGAGCGAAATATTCTCAAGCACGACGTAAGACCCAATTTCACCTCACCTCACCATAATACCTAGCATGTGTTAAGTGCACATAAAAGTCCCCACCAATATGTCCTTTATTGGATGATGGACTCTGGTCTCTTTTCTTTCCCTACAATCTGAGATGCTCAATTGCTACATAGGATGATCACCTACAATCCGAGATCCTCAATTACGACATAAGAAGATCTCCTACAATCTGACATAAGAAGATCTCCTACAATCTGAGATGCTCAATTGCTACATAGGATGATCACCTCCAATCCGAGATCCTCAATTACGACATAAGAAGATCTCCTACAATCTGAGATGCTCAATTGCTACATAGGGTGATCACCTACAATCTGAGATGCTCAATTACGACATAAGAAGATCTCCTACAATCTGAGATGCTCAATTGCTACATAGGGTGATCACCTACAATCTGAGATGCTCAATTACGACATAAGAAGATCTTCTACAATCTGAGATGCCGAATTACGACATAGGGTGATCACCTACAATCTGAGATGCTCAATTACGACATAAGAAGATCTCCTACAATCTGAGATGCCGAATTACGACATCTGAGGGTGATCAATCTGAGATGCCGAATTACGCTACAATCTGAGATGCTCAATTACGACATGAGATCCTCAATTACGACATAAGAAGATCTCCTACAATCTGAGATGCCTCAATTACGAATTACGACATAGGGTGATCACCTACAATCTGAGATGCTCAATTACGACATAAGAAGATCTCCTACAATCTGAGATGCCGAATTACGACATAGGGTGATCACCTACAATCTGAGATCCTCAATTACGACATAAGAAGATCTTCTACAATCTGAGATGCCGAATTACGACATAGGGTGATCACCTACAATCTGAGATCCTCAATTACGACATAAGAAGATCTTCTACAATCTGAGATGCCGAATTACGACATAGGGTGATCACCTTCAATCTGAGATGCTCAGTTACGACACAAGATGATCACATACTGAGATCATCAGTTTCGGAAATCCAGAACCCATATATCATCAGTAGCATAACGCAAGCACGCACGAACGTACGCACGCACACACAAGCTCTCAAACACTCCAAAATATTCCATATGCTGGACACGAAAATACAGTAATTGAAACCAAGTTAATGTGCATGACTGCCCGATCCCGCTAGCGAAGATCGGGTTAGAATTGATCTTCAGCAACCCATGCTTGTCGTAAGAGGCGACTAACGGGATCGGGTGGTCCGGCTCGCTGACCTGGTTGATGCATGTCTTCCATAAGCGCCTGACTCAGATATATTTATAAGTATGACCTATACATATAAGATATAAGATATCTTACATATATATATATATATATATATATATAGGTCATACTTATAAATATATCAGAGTCGGGCGCCTATGATGTCATCGTATTCAGGCCTACCAAAGAAAACTTTCCCACTATGCTGAAAAACGCAGAGTAGTCTATTTCTATTGTGTTATTTGGCATTTATCATCACCATACTTGTGTGCAAACATATAGTTTACTTTCCATTCGTATGAAATGATTGACAGCAATTATTTCGACATATTCTATAGAATTGACAGATTCACGGTTCCTCGGAAATAGTTTTCCAGATCAGATCGTAACGCGCATGCGCAGTAGAGGTCAAAGTTCGTTGATATAAAAATGTTGCAGTTAAATAGTCTTTCGGTCCTGTTATTACTGTTTCAATAGCGAGGTAATATGTTTATGTTTCTGCACAGTGGGAAAGTTTTCTTTGGTAGGCCCGGTATTACAGTAGCGGAGAACAGTCCTCATGATGTCAATCACCAGGTTGTCTGGCCCAAACTCTCTTTTTTACACACATCAACTTTAACTGAATGCGGTGTTAAACAAAGACCTGTTTGGACTAGTTCCCTCTCCGAGAAGTTTGTGTTTCAGTTGCGCAATAACACCGTGGCACGGCGTCTACGGGTTAAAGCTCACGTGATTCGGCATGTTTCGAAACATCACCAAATCCGGACTAACAGGAAACACCCAATGGGCTTAACTTGTTTAGGTCAAACTAGGTCAAGACCTGATGGAACTATGACAGTGTCTGTGTGTAAACAGAATAATCTTTCACAGCTAGATTCATCTATACACAGTATATAACGAACTTAAAGGTACCACTACGTTTAGTTCGTAATAACCGTACTTCGTTGTACGAATTTCGATTCAAATCAGTTCGATACATCCGTCAGTTCGTTATAAGCGTGTGCGTTGCAAATATAAGTTACTGTAATGTGGTAAGCAGGTAGAAAAGATGGCGTTACAGAAATATGACCCCTTTTTGGAGAGTATGTTGGTATGTTAAAGAATGAGGTATATCAAATAAATACGAGATATAATAATAATAATGGATAGCATTTATATAGCGCAAATCTCCGCAAAGGACTCCTTGCGGTTGATTTAAGTTTTTCAGTTTTTGATGATATGTTTGATAAATAACATTTAATTGACAACATTTTCGAAACACGATTCTATAATTATCACCTCCCATCAACACACCCTTTGTCTAAAATGGTGTACACCTGCACACTTCTTGTGTGGTGTGTGGTGCTGTGCATAGAGCTCAGGTCACAAATCAGTAAAACTGTTGAAGTTAAGCAACGCTGAGCGCGGCGAGTCATTGGATGGGTGGCCGTGTTTGGCAGCTTGACTCCTAAGAGTTTCTAGGGTTTCAGTCCTGCCCCACAACGAAGCAAGTGCATGAGTTTGTTCAAAATTGCCTCTGTTCACCCAGCAGAAAATGGGTACCCGGTGGGATAAGTCACGTTTATACGGGGTAATAATTCAGTGTTTCTGAGTAGTGCTACATTGGAAATAAGCGCTATACAAATGAATAACATTATGTAATATCAACTTCTTTGAAGCTAAATGTGTGCTCGGTTCTCTTTAAGCACGTTATGATGACACACTGGAGTTACAGTTTCTGTCGTTGACGTTGTTCCGGACAATGAGCGTTGCAACATACTTGTGACTCAAGGGTTTCTAGGTACACTCTAAATAGAACTGATGTCGAAATCGCGATGTTACATTGACATCGCATGTCGTAGCAAATATCGCTCTATCCCGGCAATCCGGGAATGCAATGGGGCAGCTAGTTGGGGGGACAGGTATATATAGTTCCTGTAACTGTAACTGTCCCTTTTAGACACCGACCTTCGACATGGAGACATTCAGATGGGGAGTATTTATTGCCATTCTTGCCTTAGTTGCTTCAAAAACGGCCGAGGAATGGAAGTCAAGAATACTATATCAGGTGAATATTACAGACACCTTCTGTTTTAGCTTATTATATTTTCGATTGATCATTTCTATTACATTTAAAGTAGATATTTTGTATTTACTCCTACTTACAGCTGAAACTTCCTTCCTTTTTAGATAAATTGGTTTAAATACTTTTGCCTAAGACGTTTTGGTCGCCGGGTCTAAATATACTATTCACACGTTGCTACGGATCAAATCATGGATTCAACAGAAAACTATGATGTGGAGTCAAATTTGGTTTAAATATCTAAGCTTATTGTAAGCATGGATCCTAGGTTTCAGTATGTCACTGCATCTTGTGGATCCCATACCTGCTATTGACAGGTGTTGTGTACTTGTCAATGACTCGTTCCAAGATGTGGTTGATTAGTGCCATGTAAACCATTTTTATGGTTACTCATGTTTCAGGTGTATAAGGTTAGCTTAAAGTGACTGTTTAGCTAAAGAGGGGTTATGGTATGATTTTAACATTATTGTGACGGACCAATTTCAGTTGCTGACAGATCGATTCTCACAAAGGGAGACAACCCTAACACAACCTGCAGTGATCTGAGAAGTTACTGTGGCGGTTCCTTTAAAGGGATAGAAGAGCAGCTGGACTACATCCAAGGCCTTGGTGTGTACAGCTTACACATACCATGTCATGCCATAATTATGATCGATAAATAAGGGATGCGGTGGGGGTAACCCAGTGGTAAAAGCGTTCGCTAGTCACGCCGACGTCCGGGTTCGATTCCCGTTTTAATTCAGTCAAAACATGGATAGATATGGTGATGTCACTACCGTTACGATGCTTTGGGTTTCTGGGTACAGTGTAAATTCATCTCAACAGAACTCGCATACACTACATTGGACAACCGACAATATCTTTCCAAATATGCTGTTGAATTTACAAATCCGCCAAACTGCTCCCAATTTGTGAGTGAGTGAGTGAATTTAGCTTCACACCGCTTTAGCAATATTCCAGCAATATCACCGCGGGGGACACCAGAAATGGGCTTCAGACATTGTACCCATGTTGGGAATCGAACCCGGGTCTTCGGCGTGACGAGCGAACGCTTTAACCACAAGGCTACCCACCGCACCTCTCTCGCTCTTAAGAGTAATTGTGTTGTTGAATTGTTCAGGCAACAAGTGAAGTGACTGAGAGGTACTAGATTCGCTTACGATTACTAATGAAGAAGTTATTTTACAACTAACTCCGTCGTGATAAGTGAGTGATTGAATTATGTTTTACGCCGCTTTTAGCCATATTCCAGTATTATCACGGCGGTGTATCACAGTGTATCCATGTGGGGAATCGAACCCAAGATTTTATTCGTGAGATGCAAACGCTTTAACCACTAGGCTACCGCAGCGTCCACCGTCGTAAGAAAATTGAGTAGGGCATGCTTACTGTTTTCCCGAACACCGGGTGTCATTAATAATTTCAGTTATCCATTCATTTACTTTCCACCACAGTTTTCCCCACTCTCCTACCCAGAGTTCCATGCGGCAAGCCAGCATAGTACCTCTGCCACAGTCTGTGAAGATTCGTCACATCTTGTTCCATTCAATATAATGTACAGATTTATTTTGTTTTATTTTTATCGATCTACCATCTTACTAAACATCTTTAATAGAATGGTTTAGTTTCAAGAAAAATCCAAAACATAACGATTTGCGTAAACATATAGGTTGTAATACGATCGAAGCTGATGGAGAGCAACGATGCAGCCAGTTTGATATCAAATATGTACTGTCATAGACCTTACTGTCGCAGTTGTGGAAGAATATATATGTAACAATGTAAAACAATATGAAGAGAGCGCCGAAAAGCTTTCGTGAGTCCAGTCTCTTCTTATTATGAATATGCGCGTTTGTTTACAAACAAGATGTTATGTTAGTCATCACTGTGCCGGAGTGTGAGTTTTCCCTTTCCCGTCCTTTGCAGTCTGTTTCGACGTTGATGTTTATATCCATCAAATGTTTTTAAAATTGACGAAAAATTAAATAGATGACAGAATAACAGGTGACAAAAGTATGAAAATGATTGATTTTATACCCCCTTGTTACGCTGTATTTCTGGTTTTGTTTTAGGTGCAAATGCCATTTGGATATCTCCAATCATTGAAAATACTGTCAACGGTTACCATGGATACTGGGCTAGTAATATAAACAAAGTTAACCCAGAGTTTGGAACTGAAGCGGAACTGAAGAGTTTGATTACTGAATGTCACAAGCGGGATATCTGGGTCATGTTTGACGTGTAAGTCTTTTGGCTTTAACCAACATACCACCGGTTGGATAGCACAACGATCAGGCCTATGTCACACGCTGGACCCGTGTTCGATTCCCACATGGGCACAAGTAAACCGACTTTGCCAAATTATTGTAAAATTAGGGTTTTACATAGACTAACTCTTAGTCCCTGAATATATATAATCTTTAATAGTAACAAATAATCCCGTTTAAACTGAAAAGGAGACCCAGTGAGATGAGAACCTTGGGAAATCTTGCTTAATTTAGGGCTTTAGCATTGAGGTAGGGCTAGGATGGGAGGCAAAATAATGCGGTTCAGGGACTGTGAGACAAACTAGGTATTACACTCTACCTGTTCTTATCCAAGGCTCGGGTTAGAATCCGAGTTAGAATTGGTCTTCAGTAACCCATGCTTGTAGCAATTGTCGACTAACAGGATCGGGAGGTCAGGCTCGCTGACTTGGTTGACACATGTCATCACATCTCATTTGCGTCGAACGATGCTCATGATACTGATCACTGGATTGTCTGGTCCAGACTCGTTTATTTGCACACCGTCGCCGTATGGATGAAATATTGCTGATCGCGGCGTTAAACAAAAAAGAACGAAAACTAACAGTTTTATCCAAAGAAAATATCTACATGTTAAATTACAAAAACAATTTACGTAAAACATCTTACGTCGGCTCTGAGTACACTGCAATATAGAGTGTACACCAAACCGTATTCAAAGAGTGGGTGAGTATGGTTTTACGCCGCTTTTAGCAATATTCCAGCAATATCACAGCGGGGGACACCAGAAATGGGCTTCACACATGGTACCTACGTGGGTAATCAAACCGGGTTTTCGGCGTGACGAGCAATGCTCTATCCACGAGGCTACCCACATCGCCCCATATTCCAAGAAGGATACGCCTACAAGTTTTCTAGAAGCGGCGTAAAACTAAACTATCAACTTTGTCTGTTCTGAAACTGAATGTAAACAATACTTAAAGCGACTCCGTTTCGCTGTAGTCCTTTATGAAATTAACACTAATTCGCTTTCAGGGTCGCCAACCATATGGGTCGACCCAGTGGCTGCATTGACCGTTCGTGTCCAACGGAGGAGCTGACCAACTTCACTGAGTTTGCTCCCTTTGACCGACAGGAGCACTACCATCAGCTGTGCTACATCCAAGGCTCGTCTAACCAGTCCGAGGTATTTGCAGAACGAGCCAAGTCGTTGTAGCTGTTACTATGACGACACCTTATAAAATGATATTACGAGACTTTTGCCACAACCCATCCGGCTCTAAATTTGCCCCGTCCAAATTTTCATATTTTAATTCCATGCACTTCACGAAACCTAACAAAAATATTTTACACCAGAATAAATAAAATATGTATCAATTTATGACTTAAAAAGAAGTTACAATATGTCTGAATTTTAGTTTTTCGTTGTAGTGTAGCTCACTGGTAGACAACGCAATCAGTTTATTTGTTTTTCGGCTAAAGCTAGATTGTATCTGATTAGCTAAATACCCGTCCTTGTGAACATTGTCATGTTCATTAAAAATGGAACGTCTTCACTACGTTGAGGATAAACTTGGGAGTTTCCGGGGCAGCGGGTATGTTCCTTGTTGAGTTAGCAACTGTATAATGACAGTGTACGACAGTTCCCCTAGCCTCTGTTGACAACTCCAAGCAAATACACGCTTGCTGACTTACGTTAGGTACTTATAGGCGCGCTTCCGGCAATGGCCATTCCGCACTCGCACGGTGTGTGAATCACGACATTTTAACGTACAGGCATATGTCAGTAAATGAGCACGTGGTTATCTCGTACTGAAATGAATACTTATTAACGTTTCCCCATATGGTGCTGTGTGGTCCTGTGCATAAAGCCCAGGTCACAAATAAGTTGACTTCTGAGCGTTTCTATAACTTCTGTCCTGCTCCACAACGAAGCATACACGACACATGTGGTCTCACCTAGGCAAGTGAGTTTGTGCATGAACTGCCTATGTTGAGCAGTGAATGGGTACCCGGTGGGATATATCATATGACTGTTAAGTTTCTTGCGTCTCAAGTAATAATGTGGGGTAATAATGTGTTAGCGCTTTGACCATGCACGTGGAAACAGGCGCTTTGTAAATAGCCATTGTTATCCCTACGGCGCTGGGCATCATCTGGGCCTCATCGGCTTTTCCAAATACTGGCCTCTATGTTACAGCTTAATAACCTATAATAAACATAATATTTATGTGCAGAGATATCGGGTGGTTAAAAAAACAACAATTTCTTTCGGTGTTTTTAGTCAACATGTTGTTTATTAACCTTGCACTTACGCAGAAATCCTGGTCACCTCTCCAACATGCTCACTTCTACACGCCTCAGCCCTTAATTTAAGAAGCGGAAGAAATCACTCTCAATAATTTTCAAATATATAGCCGCTTTAAGCGCCTGTGCAAATTCCGTCTTTTGCTTTGTATCTAGATTGAGCAGTGCCGACTGGGAATCCTTCCTGACTTGAACCAATCAGTGCCGTATGTGAGACAGACCCTATTAGACTGGGTTTCCAACTTGACGCGGGAGTACGACGTCGACGGTCTCCGTGTTGATACACTGTGTGAGGTGAGATCGGCGTCGCTGAAAATGTCCATCAACATGATGATGATGATAATTATTAATCCGTTCCACTGATGACACTAAAAGACACTTGAGCTGTCTAAATCTGTGTATCTTATAAAATATGATATTGATATTGCTGGAATATTATTAAAAGCGGCGTAAAACCATACTCATTCACTTTAAGATATACTGCACTTCTCTAATCGGCAAGTTTATAAACTGCAGTTAGTCTTTCAGATAATGAACCAAATACACTCCATTGCAAAGGAAAGTACGCCACTGAAACTGGATCAGACAAAACATTACAAATGTTATCGAAAGGTTGCTTGGCTGAAAACACTGCAAAGATACAATCGCCAGAACACAGCCATGACTGCATGGCCATCGGACAAACAGTTTTTGTTGGTTTCATTTAAGCCATCATCAAAGACGGATGTGCAGATTCTTTTGTCTGGCAGTTTGATGGATTCGGAATTCCCAGTTGCCATAGCAACAACTGTAGTCATCTGTACTTTTTAACAACCCAGCTATTGTTACTAGAAATAATTGTTTACAGTGGAATAACAATCCTCCCTCGAAAACAATATATCGGCTTGGGAGATTTTCAAACAAAAGTTGTTGTCAAGCCCATTCAGGTATTACTGTCAAACCGTCCTCAGAGATCTCGGATGAACGTTTACTGTGCAGAGTTAGCCCCCTTAGTCATGCCGGGATCTAGCTGGATTTCAGATATTCCTAGTAACACCGGTAATATAGACATGAAGACATATTACAGCTGTGAGGAGGTCAAGATTCGTCCTGAATGCGATATATGGGTTATATCTGAGTACTTTTGATCACAGTGACTGAGTGAGTTTAGTTTTACGCCGATTTTAGCAATATTCCAACAATTTCACGACGGGGGACACCAGAAATGGGCTTCACACATTGTACCCATGTGGGAAATCGAACCCGTGTCTTTGGTGTGACGAGCGAACGCTTTAACCAATGGTGTAGAGGCCCCATGCCTTACTTGAAATCAGACTTTCTACTCATTTTAAGTTCGGCTGTGGGTGGCCAAGTGGTTCAACCGTTAGCTTGTCATGCCGCAGGCGAATCACATTCCCCATACAAGGTGTGAGGCATGTTTCTGGGGTCCCCCGCCGTAATACTGCTTTAAGATGACATAAAACAATGTTCATACAATCAATTATATTGGGGGCCGGTGGGATAGCCTAGTGGTTAAAGCGTTCGCTCGTCAGGCCGAAGTTCCGGGTTCGATTCCCCACATGGGCACAATGTGTGAGGCCCATTTATTGCTGGAATATCACTTATTTTGGGATGATACTGTCAGACATTCAAAGCGTTTCAAACCGCTCACAAACTCACCCTCACAAAACTAGGTACCCAAGCCGTTCTGGCGCGAGTTCCAGCTTTCTGCCGGGGTGTTCTGTATAGGGGAAGCTAACTACTACGACCGGCCCAGATACCTTGCAGCGTATCAGGGAGAAGCGCTGGATGCTCTTCTCAACTTCCCCATGTACTGGGCCCTGCGGAGGAGTTTCAACGACAAGGAGCCTATGCCTCAACTGCTCGACAGCATAAACCTACAGGTAACTTTGGTTGTATGCTTCGCATGGAGCTGAGAATAAAATTCGAGAACACACTTACAGTCTTACCCACTGACCGGGGTCACAATCGTTTCACACTACTGAATAAGAAGTATTTGTAATTTGGAAGAGTATAATGTTAAATAAATTAACCATGTAAAATTTCAAAGCAATGGCGGATATGGCTCAATTTTTCGCTATGTCTGTGTCAATGAACCAAGTTGATTCAAGATCGGAACAGGTCTTGAAAGTCGCGAGTTTTCTCGAAGGATATAATTAGTATAATCCGTGCAGTGGACTTGTCAACAATGAACAGCTAATGGTGCCACTTTGGTAGCATCGATTATTTTACTTAATTGATGTATGGTACCGTTATATCCAATGTCCGATTTGTTTCTTGAAATCTGGGCACATTCATATTCATGAATATTCATGAATGCGCAGAAGTTTGTTTTGTTAAATGTTTACACGAACAAAATGCACAACAATATACTGTCGTCACATTTGAAAGATATCCAGATACACTGAAGATACGTAATCGGGGAAAAACCAAAACCTGACTTTTCATGATGTGCAAAAACATCCAAAAACAATTCCTGTATTCTCCTTGACCAACTCTGCCCAAATATATTTATTAGTAGGTGTTAGGGATATAATACCCCTACAGACGAATTTTGGTATTAAGAATCAACGAAATGGTTTGGGGTTGTGAGTTCGGTACTTAGGATTGATGCTCATAATCAGTCTGGACTGTTTGGTGCTGACTCGACCATTATCAGACCACTGTAATAAAGCCGGAACCCGTGAAGATCCGGGTGAGAGTTGATCTTCAGTAACCCTTGCTTATCATAAGAGGCGACTAACAGGATCGGGTGGTCAGGCTCGCTGGCTTAGTTGACAATTGCGTAGATCGATGCCTACGCTGTTGATCACTGGATTGTCTGGTCCCGATTCGATTATTTACAGACCGCCGCCATATATCAGGAATATTGCTGAGTGCGGCGTAAAACTAACTCACTCACTCACTCGTAAAGCTGGAATATTTCCGAGTACAGGATAAAACAACAAACGAATAGATTAATGTAGCGGCTGGTTACTGCCATGCACATGCAGACTTTAGCAAAAGCGGTGATAACGTGAAAAGCATTTTTACCGAATTATTGCAAATTTCCCAAACTAGCACGTTTAGTCGGACATACTTCACCTATCACTCTTTAACAACACGTAACCTTCTGATTATTTTCTTTCTCTCTCGTATCTAATTAATTGATGATTTTAGAATATGAACCATTTAATTTTAACCCACCAGGAGTTGCTGTATGTATGTACGACCCACTAACACTCTCTGCTGAAATAATAAAACCAAAAATATATCATTTTAAAACACAAAATTAATCAATTATAAATTATCGTGCTGTTCAAATATCCTAAGAACATGTATATATGTTGACGCATACCTGTGTACTTGTCTTTCAGAACGAAATCTTCATTGATACAACGGTGCTTGGAACATTCGTTGACAACCACGACTTCCAACGTTTCCTTAATATGACCCCTGATGTCACACTTCTGAGAAACGCTCTAGTCTTTGTCTTCTTCAGTCAGGTGAGTAGATGACCTCTCTAGTATTCGTCTTCTTCAGTTAGGTGAGTAGAGGGCCTCTCTAGTCTTTGTCTTCTTCAGTCAGGTGAGTAGATGACCTCTCTAGTCTTTGTCTTCTTCAGTCAGGTGAGTAGATGGCCTCTCTAGTCTTTGTCTTCTTCAGTCAGGTGAGTAGATGACCTCTCTAGTCTTTGTCTTCTTCAGTCAGGTGCGTAGATGGCCTCTCTAGTCTTTGTCTTCTTCAGTCAGGTGAGTAGATGGCCTCTCTAGTCTTTGTCTTCTTCAGTCAGGTGCGTAGATGGCCTCTCTAGTCTTTGTCTTCTTCAGTCAGGTGAGTAGATGACCTCTCTAGTCTTTGTCTTCTTCAGTCAGGTGTGTAGAGAACCTCTCTAGTCTTTGTCTTCTTCAGTCAGGTGAGTAGACGGCCTCTCTAGTATTCGTCTTCTTCAGTTAGGTGAGTAGAGGACCTCTCTAGTCTTTGTCTTCTTCAGTCAGGTGCGTAGATGGCCTCTCTAGTCTTTGTCTTCTTCAGTCAGGTGCGTAGAGGACCTCTCTAGTCTTTGTCTTCTTCAGTCAGGTGCGTAGAGGACCTCTCTAGTATTCGTCTTCTTCAGTCAGGTGCGTAGAGGACCTCTCTAGTATTCGTCGTCTTCAGTCAGGTGTGTAGAGAACCTCTCTAGTCTTTGTCTTCTTCAGTCAGGTGCGTAGAGGACCTCTCTAGTATTCGTCTTCTTCAGTTAGGTGCGTAGAGGACCTCTCTAGTCTTTGTCTTCTTCAGTCAGGTGCGTAGATGGACCCTCTTTTGTCGATGTCTTCTTCAGTCAGGCGAGTAGATGACCTCTCTAGTCTTTGTCTTCTTCAGTCAGGTGCGTAGATGGCCTCTCTAGTCTTCGTCTTCTTCAGTCAGGTGCGTAGAGGACCTCTCTAGTATTCGTCTTCTTCAGTCAGGTGAGTAGATGGCCTCTCTAGTCTTTGTCTTCTTCAGTCAGGTGAGTAGATGGCCTCTCTAGTCTTTGTCTTCTTCAGTCAGGTGAGTAGATGGACTCTCTTTTGTCGCAGTCTTCTTCAGTCAGGCGAGTAGATGACCTCTCTAGTCTTTGTCTTCTTCAGTCAGGTGAGTAGAGGACCTCTCTAGTATTCGTCTTCTTCAGTCAGGTGAGTAGAGGACCTCTCTAGTCTTTGTCTTCTTCAGTCAGGTGCGTAGAGGACCTCTCTAGTATTCGTCTTCTTCAGTCAGGTGAGTAGATGACCTCTCTAGTCTTTGTCTTCTTCAGTCAGGCGAGTAGATGACCTCTCTAGTCTTTGTCTTCTTCAGTCAGGTGCGTAGATGACCTCTCTAGTCTTCGTCTTCTTCAGTCAGGTGAGTAGAGGACCTCTCTAGTATTCGTCTTCTTCAGTTAGGTGAGTAGAGGACCTCTCTAGTCTTTGTCTTCTTCAGTCAGGTGAGTAGATGGCCTCTCTAGTCTTTGTCTTCTTCAGTCAGGTGAGTAGATGGCCTCCCTAGTCTTTGTCTTCTTCAGTCAGGTGAGTAGAGGACCTCTCTAGTCTTTGTCTTCTTCAGTCAGGTGAGTAGATGACCTCTCTAGTATTTGTCTTCTTCAGTCAGGTGCGTAGATGGCCTCTCTAGTCTTTGTCTTCTTCAGTCAGGTGAGTAGATGGACTCTCTTTTGTCGATGTCTTCTTCAGTCAGGCGAGTAGATGACCTCTCTAGTCTTTGTCTTCTTCAGTCATGTGCGTAGATGGCCTCTCTAGTCTTCGTCTTCTTCAGTCAGGTGCGTAGAGGACCTCTCTAGTATTCGTCTTCTTCAGTCAGGTGAGTAGATGGCCTCTCTAGTCTTTGTCTTCTTCAGTCAGGTGAGTAGATGGCCTCTCTAGTCTTTGTCTTCTTCAGTCAGGTGAGTAGATGGACTCTCTTTTGTCGCAGTCTTCTTCAGTCAGGCGAGTAGATGACCTCTCTAGTCTTTGTCTTCTTCAGTCAGGTGAGTAGAGGACCTCTCTAGTATTCGTCTTCTTCAGTCAGGTGAGTAGAGGACCTCTCTAGTCTTTGTCTTCTTCAGTCAGGTGCGTAGAGGACCTCTCTAGTATTCGTCTTCTTCAGTCAGGTGAGTAGATGACCTCTCTAGTCTTTGTCTTCTTCAGTCAGGCGAGTAGATGACCTCTCTAATCTTTGTCTTCTTCAGTCAGGTGCGTAGATGACCTCTCTAGTCTTCGTCTTCTTCAGTCAGGTGAGTAGAAGACCTCTCTAGTATTCGTCTTCTTCAGTTAGGTGAGTAGAGGACCTCTCTAGTCTTTGTCTTCTTCAGTCAGGTGAGTAGATGGCCTCTCTAGTCTTTGTCTTCTTCAGTCAGGTGAGTAGATGGCCTCCTAGTCTTTTTGTCTCTTCAGTCAGGTGAGTAGAGGACCTCTCTAGTCTTTGTCTTCTTCAGTCAGGTGAGTAGATGACCTCTCTAGTATTTGTCTTCTTCAGTCAGGTGCGTAGATGGCCTCTCTAGTCTTTGTCTTCTTCAGTCAGGTGAGTAGATGGACTCTCTTTTGTCGATGTCTTCTTCAGTCAGGCGAGTAGATGACCTCTCTAGTCTTTGTCTTCTTCAGTCAGGTGAGTAGATGACCTCTCTAGTCTTTGTCTTCTTCAGTCAGGTGAGTAGATGGCCTCTCTAGTCTTTGTCTTCTTCAGTCAGGTGCGTAGATGGCCTCTCTAGTCTTTGTCTTCTTCAGTCAGGTGAGTAGATGGACTCTCTTTTGTCGATGTCTTCTTCAGTCAGGCGAGTAGATGACCTCTCTAGTCTTTGTCTTCTTCAGTCAGGTGCGTAGATGGCCTCTCTAGTCTTCGTCTTCTTCAGTCAGGTGCGTAGAGGACCTCTCTAGTCTTTGTCTTCTTCAGTCAGGTGAGTAGATGGCCTCTCTTTTGTCGATGTCTTCTTCAGTCAGGCGAGTAGATGACCTCTCTAGTCTTTGTCTTCTTCAGTCAGGTGAGTAGATGGACTCTCTTTTGTCGATGTCTTCTTCAGTCAGGTGCGTAGATGGCCTCTCTAGTCTTTGTCTTCTTCAGTCAGGTGAGTAGATGGCCTCTCTAGTCTTCGTCTTCTTCAGTCAGGTGCGTAGAGGACCTCTCTAGTCTTTGTCTTCTTCAGTCAGGTGAGTAGATGGCCTCTCTTTTGTCGATGTCTTCTTCAGTCAGGCGAGTAGATGACCTCTCTAGTCTTTGTCTTCTTCAGTCAGGCGAGTAGATGGACTCTCTTTTGTCGATGTCTTCTTCAGTCAGGTGAGTAGATGGCCTCTCTAGTCTTTGTGTTCTTCAGTCAGGTGAGTAGATGGCCTCTCTAGTCTTTGTCTTCTTCAGTCAGGTGAGTAGATGACCTCTCTAGTCTTTGTCTTCTTCAGTCAGGTGAGTAGATGGCCTCTCTAGACTTTGTCTTCTTCAGTCAGGTGAGTAGAGGACCTCTCTAGTCTTTATCTTCTTCAGTCAGGTGAGTAGAGGACCTCTCTAGTCTTTATCTTCTTCAGTCAGGTGAGTAGATGGCCTCTCTAGTCTTTGTCTTCTTCAGTCAGGTGAGTAGAGGACCTCTCTAGTCTTTGTCTTCTTCAGTCAGGTGTGTAGAGAACCTCTCTAGTCTTCGTCTTCTTCAGTCAGGTGAGTAGATGGCCTCTCTAGTCTTTGTCTTCTTCAGTCAGGTGAGTAGATGGCCTCTCTAGTCTTTGTCTTCTTCAGTCAGGTGCGTAGATGGCCTCTCTAGTCTTTGTCTTCTTCAGTCAGGTGAGTAGAGTACCTCTCTATCTTTTGTCGATTGCTCTTAGTCAGGTGACTGTTGGGTCTCTGTTGTCGATGCCTTCTCAATCAAATTGGTCATGTTGCCGCTTTGGAAGAATTAGTACCCCGTCTTCCACGCCTCATACATCATTGATGTCGACGTTGACGTTATATGAACCACGTTTAACATTACCGCATATGTTTTTTCAAGGGTATCCCGATTGTGTATTATGGCACTGAACAGCTGTTCCACGGGGGAGAAGATCCTGACAACCGGGAGTCTCTTTGGCCTCACTTTGACAACACTACAGCGATGTACCAGGTGAGCTAAATAAAACAACAAAATCATTTTCATAAGAAATCTCAGCAAAAGAAAGTTCGACAGTACAAGTGCTATATCGTGATAATGTGATTTTGAATCACTATCAAATTAGTTATGATACTAGGTGAGTGAGTGAGTGATTTTATTTTTACGCCGCTTTTAGCAATATTCCAGCAATATCACGGCGGAGGACACCAGAAATATGCTTCACACTATGATACTAGGTGTCCAAAAGATAAGATATAAATTATATTTCGAGGATCGAAAGAATCGTCATTAAATTGGACACTTTGGGTACACCGGGAGTTACGGGAGGCCAGATATTGTTTCAGAGATTTAAATGTCGGATTAAACATCTTATTTCAATTAGAACATGTTCCTGGTGTTCTATATATGTCATATACACCTTGTGGGTTTTCCGGGTCAGACCAGGTTGTCTTAAGCACGACTTCTCTATGTCATAGCTTGCTTGTGTATGACATGGGCTTCTTGTGTTTGTCATGGGTTACCTGTATTTGTCATACGCTACCTATGTTTGTCATGGTTACCTGTATTTGCCATACGCTACCTATGTTTGTCATGGGTTACCTGTATTTGCCATACGCTACCTATGTTTGTCATGAGTTACCTGTATTTGCCATACGCTGCCTATGTTTGTCATGGGTTACCTGTGTTTGTCATACGCTACCTATGTTTGTCATGGGTTACCCGTGTTTGCCATACGCTACCTATGTTTGTCATGGTTTACCTGTGTTTGTCATACGCTACCTATGTTTGTCATGGGTTACCCGTGTTTGCCATACGCTACCTATGTTTGTCATGGGTTACCTGTGTTTGCCATACGCTACCTATGTTTGTCATGGTTTACCTGTGTTTGTCATACGCTACCTATGTTTGTCATGGGTTACCTGTATTTGCCATACGCTAGCTATGTTTGTCATTGGTTACCCGTGTTTGTCATACGCTACCTATGTTTGTCATGGTTTACCTGTGTTTGTCATACGCTACCTATGTTTGTCATGGTTTACCTGTGTTTGCCATACGCTACCTATGTTTGTCATGGGTTACCTGTGTTTGTCATACGCTACCTATGTTTGTCATGTTTGTCATACGCTACCTATGTTTGTCATGGGTTACCCGTGTTTGCCATACGCTACCTATGTTTGTCATGGTTTACCTGTGTTTGTCATACGCTACCTATGTTTGTCATGGGTTACCCGTGTTTGCCATACGCTACCTATGTTTGTCATGGGTTACCTGTGTTTGTCATACGCTACCTATGTTTGTCATGGGTTACCTGTGTTTGTCATACGCTACCTATGTTTGTCATGGTTTACCTGTGTTTGTCATACGCTACCTATGTTTGTCATGGGTTACCTGTGTTTGTCATGAGCTACTGTAGTATTTCAAGGTTTACGGACTTTCGTTTTGTAGTTTGGGGTAGCAAAAACATAGATAAAAGAAGACTGGTACGAACAAACTTGTGTTTGCAATCGGCAAAATTACGGATTTTTGTCACGTTCTTTTTCGGATCGACTGAATGCGTAAACCAATTCACTCTTGCTCAAGACATGCTTGATATGGATTGCATCCTTTGAAGACCCTGGTAAAACCTTTTTTGGTAGATATGTGAAGAGAATTTCCAGATTTGAAACATCACCGACCAAACTGTCAGATGCAATTCCCAATTTTGTACCATTCTGTTTCCGTGTTTATTTATTAAACAATTGATGTGCCTTTGAATGTGTTTGTGACGGCTATCGCCAGTAGGGCAGATTATGCCCTCCATCTGACGAAAATCTTCGTCACTCACCCACTTCAACATTGCATGGAGACATATATACTAATATAGACACGTAATATGTCGTCATGTTAGACATGTAACTCGATTACGTTGCCATGGTAACACCCAGTCACCAACTCCTTTTTCAGTTTATCGGGAAGCTAGCTTATGCCAGAAAGTCCTCCAATGTTAACTTTGGCGCTCTCAACCAAAACGTGGTGTACGTCGACAACGACACACTGGTCATGACAAGGGGTGACAACCAAAAGGTACGCTTGCAATTGATATCTATGAATAATATCTATGAACGCACAATGTAAACGCATAAATTAATTGTCACAGTCAATCAACCAATATACCAATCAAATGTTACAAAGTTACTGTATTGTAACAGCATGGGCGGACCCGTGAAGGTCCGGGTTAGAATGTACCTTCAGTAACCCATGCTTGTCGTAAAAGGCGACTAACGGGATCGGGTGGTCAGGGTCGCTGGCTTGGTTGACACATGTCATCGGTTCCCAATTGCGCAGATCGATGCTCATGGTGTTGATCACTGGATTGTCTGGTCCAGACTCGATTATTTACAGACCGCCGATATATAGCTGGAATATTGCTGAGTGCTGCCTAAAACTAAACTCATTCACTCAGCATGGGCGGTGGGGTAGCCCAGTGGTTAAATCTTTCGTTCGTCACGCCAAAAACTCGGGTTCGATTCCCCACATGGGTACAATGTGTCAAGATCATTTCTGGTGTCCCCCCGCCGTGTTGTTGCTGGGATATTGCTAAAATGCACTCACTCATTCACTCATTTATTTGTTACAGCTGCTAATAGCTGTGACCAATGTTGGAACATCACAGGGCAGTGTGCAGAAATCTGTTGGCAATCTAACCGACATTGCTAATGGATCAGGTATGTTACTTGTGAACATGGACACATTCATCTAAAGAACACACATGCTCAAACTCGACCCTCTTCTCTTCTTTAAGAAATACAGTTAGATTTTAATTACCTTTTAAACGTTTGCTCTCTCACACAATTCCTGCGTTGTCATGCGTTTTTCAGATAATATGCACTGAAACTTCGTACTACCCCGTTCGAGAATTACCCTCAGTTTTATATCGACCTATGTTCCCGCTTGGATTTATATGGTCCAACCTTGAGAATGAATGAACAAATAATAACGCTTCATTAAAAGCCTTATCCAGCGTACAGAGTAAATCGGTGCTCGCAATATCACTCACGAGCTTGTCTGGTCAGGATTCGATGATTTACAGGCCCCGGTTCCCCGTAATAAAGCTGGAATACCGATTCCATTTAAACAACGGTTTTCCCTTTCTCTAATTATTCAAAATCATTATCGCTATTTCTTTCATAGTTCGGTGAGGTAGCCTAGTGATTAAAGCTTTCGCTGGTCACGCCGAAGATCCGGGTTCGATTCCCACATAGGTACAATGTGTGAAGCCCATATTTGGTGTCCCCCACTGTGATATTGTTGGAATGTTGCGTAAATCTAAACTCACACACTCTTTCATAGTTCCTCATTTGATTTCAGAGTTCGTCAACATCTGGGATAGCGCAGACACAGCCATTGTTAATGACGGGGTATTGACAATCTCTTTGACAAATGGAGAGCCGAAGATTTTCAAGCTGGCTGAGGCAGCAGCTAACAAGTCGTCTGCAATATCCATGTTTATGCATTATTTGGCGGCCATATTGTCTCTTTGTGTTGCCGTCTTTTCAAAACAATTTGCATTGTGATTTCAGATGAAATAAAGTATGTATTCTACACATTTAGCCTCTATAGAATACAAACAAAGAGAGTATTTGGATTCACGTGTTTTGTTCATCCATAATCTGTATTATAAAGGACTTGGTATGTAAATGAGTGAGTGAGTATGGTTCTACACTGCTGTTAGCAATATTCAGCAATATAAAGACGGGGGACACCAAAGTGGGCTTCACACATTGCACCCATGTTAGAATCGAACCCGGGTCTTAGGTGCGACGAGAGAACGCTTTAACCACTGGGATACCCTATCGCCCTGACTTAGTATGTAAATTTTTTTGGGCAATGGGATGAGCATCGTTTCAGAAATTAAGAGGACCACTGACAAACATTATTTAGAACGTTACTAGATTTGTCGATATAAATAAGAATTCTACTACACATGTATCTGTGTGATGTATTAATGCTGTACTCACCAGCAATCAAGCTATATGACCGTAAATACAGCTGAGAATAACTGAATCTGGACATGAAACACAAGTATCGGTCCATATCAAATAGTATATCGATAACCCATGATCAATATCCGAACTATCGGTACATATCAAATAGTATACCGATAACCCATGATCAATATCCGAACTATCGGTACATATCATATGGTATACCGATAACCCATGATCAATATCCGAACTATCGGTACATATCAAATAGTATACCGATAACCCATGATCAATATCCGAACTATCGGTACATATCAAATAGTATACCGATAACCCATGGTCAATATCCGAACATTTTCAGATATTCTTGTCGTTATATTGTTAAAACCTATCAAGCATGATAAAATATAGTTTTTGAAAGGCATTTAGAAGTTGGATGAACATGAATACACGACGCGTTTTATGGATAGCAACTTCTTATTATTCTTACACGACGTTTCAGAGCTAATTCCTGCTCCTTCATCACCTTTACCTGATGAAGGAGTAAGAATTAGCTCTGAAACGTCGTGTAAGGAATATATAAGAAGTTGTTATCCATAATGATAAAATATGTTCCAAAACATATATAACTCCGTAAACAAATACACTGGGGACTAGTGCTGGGAATTGGTTAAAATCTCATAATTGATGATTGGTTCATTACCACAAATAATTGGTTAGCGTCATTTATCAAATTTGTTAAAGCACAAAAAAATAAGGAAAAAATGTAGTTATTTTGGGGTTTTTTTTCGCAAAAGTTCACATCTTTAAAGGATGACTAGTATGCTAGGAACATAAATTTCTTGGTGTCTTTAAGATAAATTCAATCATGACTTGGAACGAGCTTGTAGTGCTTATGAAATGTAACAGACAAAACCAACCTTGTGAAAAATATTGTTGATAAAAACAAGTGTTCCAGAATTGTTTGTGTTCGATTATGAGAAAACATGATCGATTGCTTGGTCGTTTAGTCACTGCGACCAATCTTCGATTATTTCAATTAATCGGACCACCACTACTGGGGACCCAAGACTAAGCAATCTTTCACAAGTCAATAAAGGTGTATTTATTCCTATTCAAAGGTCGTTCCGTTGACAATGGTTGTGCAAACAGGCTCATTATAGTCAATGTATGTTGAACATAACTCATGCAACAAGTAAGTAGCATTGTCATCGTGAACTACTATTTTGGCAGCGATAGACTGGGAGGGAGTGGGTGAGTCAAGAGTTCACGTCGCATCGGCATATTTCAGCCATATAACGACGAGAATCTACACATACAGATACACACAACTCCACCATTAACACAATGTCACACTCAAAAACAAATTCTCCCGTGAAGATCCGGGTTATAATTGATCTTCAGTAACCCACGCTTGACGTAAGAGGCGACTAAGGGATCGGGTGGTCAGCCTCGCTGACTTGGTTGACACAATATGTCATCGTATCCCAGTTGCGTAGATTGATGCTCATGCTTGATTGTGCGGCCCAGACTCGATTATTTATAGACTGCTATATAGATGGAATATTGTTGAGTGCGGCAAACACAACAGCAGCCTTTATTGTTGTGATTCTGTTTACTTGAGTCCACAAGATGGCGTCAAAGTCAGTACTTGCAGGGATACTCTACAACACCCTCTTATAGAGTCTCCCTGGTACTTGTATGGCCACCAATGGCAGTAATTACTGCTGGGCACCGTCTCGGAACAGCCTAGATAAGACCACGAACTCGCTCTTGGCCATGGGGAACTCTTCCTGCAATGCAATAGCCAGTTGTGGAAGCGTCTGAGGCGTGTTTTGACGTTGACGTACACATGGATCGTGTTCATGTCATAGGTGTTCTATCGGTTTAGATCTGGTGATCAGGAACGCCATGGCAAGACACTGACGTTAGAAATGGCAAGGTAGCGAACCGTGACCCGTTTTGTATGTGAAGTCGCGTTGTCATGCTGGAACAACTCCCTCTGTCGGTCCATAATCGGAAGCATGTGACGTGCAATGATTTAGTTGATGTACCGATTTGCTGTCAAATGCCCCTGAACCACCATTAAATCAGATCTCTGTCTGCTGAATATCACACCCCACACCATGACACTTCCTCCACCGAATCTGTCGACCTGTAGAAGGCAAAATTTAGAATTGCCGCGTTTTGCAGCTGATCATGAAGCTGATTACAATGACACAAAGATGACGTTTTGGAAAGAATACTATATTTGCATTGTTTTGCCGCATCTAATGTGCCCAATATTCTCAAAATCACCTATGCGTTTCTTTTTTTTGAAGAGTGTATTTCAACAACGTGGGAGGTGGCATGCTGATTTCCAAGAAATAACTTCATAGAGTCTAAGCAGATCAGTTAGGTTTGCTATGAAATTAACTTGTCTAAAACAGACGTCCAAAATGAAATGCATAGTGTTTTGAGGTTGTTGTTTTTAAAACCCCGCAAACATACTTGAAATATAGTGTTTAAGTGTGATTTACAAGTCACAGACATTGTCACAGACATTGTCTATGAGACGCCCAAAACACCATATAAACACGCCCTCTGTGTGTCTGGTTATTTGTGTGTGGCGTTGTTGTGTGACATAAAATAAATATTGAGTTATATTTGAATTCCTCGAGGGAGTGTGAACATGTAAACTCGACCCATCCTTTTTCATACGTCTGTGGAGTCAGTTTTCTCATAATTAATATACTGACATGCGCCGCGCATCCGCTTGTGAGACGAAAGTTGCGCGTGCGCTGTGTTATGGAAGGCACGCAGGGCAATATTTGCTGACAAAACACGCCGCCACCCTGACAGTCGCGGATACAGGTCGACAAATACCTCAAATTGTTACCGAAGCTCATGTTTCGTTTGCACGAATCTTAACACGTGTTTGTAAACACTGTTTTCACGTCAAACATGCTATATTTGGGATTTAACTTTCTCAGTAAAGTACTGATTCTAGTGCTTTTGTTAGGTTGAGTCCCATTTGGAATTCAAACCCACACTCTCGGAGTCAGGCACCGAAACGCCAGCACATAAAGTCACTGCCATCTAACTCACTCAGCCCACGCATTTCCACATACATAGAAGCCGGACAACTGGTAGTCTTATGGTGGCTGATTAGGGCTATATGGTGGCTGATTAGGGCTCTCGTCTCGCGTTATCGCTTTCTCGTCTCGTGTTATCGCTTTCTCGTCTCGTGATATCGCTTTCTCGTCTCGTGTTATCGCTTTCTCGTCTCGTGATATCGCTTTCTCGCTTTTCCGCCTCAGCATTTTAAGGCGAGAAAGCGATGGCCCCAATCAGCCACCATATAGTCTAGGATACGATCATAGTCAAACTTTGTAGACAGATGGCTTCAGTTCGTTTATAGCGAAAATGAGTTGTTTCACAATAGAGTTGCTAAAAAGCATTTGAATTTCTGTATATGATTAGGTGTATGTTTATATCCTTGCTATTATTCCGCGATAAAATAAGTGTCATGTATTCCTGCTTGTCGCCAGAACCGACTCTGTTGTGGATCACGTGGTCTTAGCGCTACGACTGTTGTTAGCCTACGTTACAGCCTGGAGCTACGATCATCATCTTAGCGATAACCGTTTTGTGGAAACATGGTCTTGAGTCTTCGTCTGTGGCTCATTGTCATGGACAGTTTCTTCCTGTATTAGCGGCTAGATTATCTAAAACTGCTAACAGCTGAAGGGATGGTGTAAATCCATCTAGCGTCCATGCAGGAAGCAAATGTACTGTAAGTCCCCATGGTCTGTAGTATGGTGATCTACCTTCAGTTGTTGGCAATACATAGCCTGTTTTTACCTTGTATTGTCATCTATTGTGAAACTGTTTTAGATTTAATTTCTACTTTTAAATTCGAATCTGTGATAATCTAGTTATTATACTGTCCTTCGTTGACAGGTTTTTACAATTTACCATTAATTACTATGTATAACAATAATTGTTCTCGTCACGATGTGGCTGAAATATTGCCGATGTGACGATAAATGTTAACTCACTCACTCACTCACTCTTGTAGTTACACGTGGACTTGTGTTCAGCTCACAGGTCAAAACTCAGACAAAGTTAAGCATAATTGGTGAGTGAGTGAATTTAGTTTTACGCCGCTTTTAGCTATATTCCAGCAATATCACAGCGGGGAACAGCAAAATTGGGTTTCGCACAATGTACCCATGTGGAGAATCGTACCCAGGATCTCGGCGTGATGAGTGAACGCTTACCCACTAGGTCATCCCACCGCCCCCATAATTGGTGGCGGAGAGTAAGTGGATAGGTGACAAGCAGGCTTCACTCCTGAGAGTTTTTCTCCCTTCGATACTGGCCCCATTGAAACACACATCTCCTTACTGGCATATGCCTCTGCTCGTACTATTCTCCTGCCCAGACAGTAGTAAATGGGTACCCGGAAGGAAGAGAGTGTAATGTGTCTAAAAACAGTTTAGCTCCTCGGAGGAAGAAAATATTCGAGAGCACAAAGTTTCATGTTTAAAGTGAATAATAATCATTTTTTGTGTGTGGGTCCTAGCGCATAATAAATATAGAAATTGCTATATTTAGTGATACAAATCAGTTGCC